AGACAGGGTTTCTCTGTATAGCCTTGAATGTTCTAGAACTTGCTATGTAGACCAGGACCCCAGCTCAGAGAAATCCACCCAGATATCTTTTTGTCTTAGATCCCAACCCTCAGAGTCAGAGACAGAGGCAGGCAAAGCTCTGCGGTGGTCTCATACACTGTTAGGGACCTGAGCTGGTGGACAGTGGCAGAGCTCAAGCATGCCCGAGGGCTTGGGTCAATGTAACCACTGGCTTTTCCACCCACGACCCACTTCCTGAATACTGGCTCGGATGTTATTTATTTATGAATTAATGCCTAGTTCTTAAGCTAGGCTTGTGCCTCGGCTAGCTCAGTTATCCTGTTTATACCATTCTATGTCAGCCATGCGGCTGGTTACCTTGATTCAGATTCGTTTGTCCAATTTCCTCAGTGAATCTTCCCGCCTGAATACCAGAGTTCTCCCTCTTCCTCTTCCTCTGTCTCTCTCTGTCTCTCTGTCTGTCTCTGTCTCTCTCTCTCTCTCTCTCTCTCTCTCTCTCTCTCTCTCTCTCTCTCTCTCTGCTGGATATCCCACCTTCTAATCTTGCCCCAGTTTATTGGCCATCAGATTTCGTTTTTGTTTTTTGGACAGATGATTATCCCCACACAATGCACAAGAGATGATCCCTACAGGTTAAATGCCCAGCACGCCAAGAAAGAAATGAATTATGAATTATTCTCTATGCTTGTGAAAGGAATCAGGAAATTACCACAATTCCTTCCTAAACTCTTGATAGAATTCAATAGCAACTCTATCTATACCCGAAGCTTTCTGTTTTAAATGGTTATTATTGATTTAATTTCATTTTTTTTCTTTTCGGTTTTTGGTGACTGGGGGGAGGCTCATAAAACATATGGGCATGGTATTGTTCATAATGTTTATGATCCTTCTCTATGTCCATAGGATCTCTAGAGATACCTATTTTTCGTTTCTGATATTAATCATTTCAATTATCTTTCTTTTATCTTGGCTTGGCTAAAAACTCAGTTATTTTTACTGATCTTTTCAAAACACCAGTAGACTTGTTTTTCTTTTAAAAAAAAAAAAAAAAGAGTGTAGATTCTTATTGGTTTCCCCAATTTTTCCTTTTCCACTTCACTGCTTACTGATCACGTGCTCCTGTTTGCTTGTTGACACAGAGCTTGCTGTGTAGCCCCACTGTGGTCAAGAATGACCTTGAGCTCCTGATCTTCCTGCCTCTACCTCCCAAGTGTGTATGTGGAGGGAAGGAGCGTTGGGGGGCAGAGTAGAAGTGTGAGCGCATGTGCAGTCACCTGCACGGATGTGGCTGTTTCTTCTCTCTTGCTTACTGTAGGTGTCATCTGTTCTGATGTTCCATGGCCGGAAGTTCAGTTATTTATTCTGATCTCTCTTTTACACCTACACTCACTGCTGCCCGTTCCCGTGAGCACTCCCGTGAGCACTCCCATGAGCTGTATTGCACAGATTTTGATAAGTTCTGTTTCTACTTGATTCAGAATCGTTCTGCATTTCCGTTGTGGTTCCTTCTTTGACCTGTGTACTCATAGAAGTGCATTGGTTCATCTCCTGGTGTCTTAGACTTTGCCAGGTATCTTTTTTTGCATTTGATTTTTCGTAGTTCTAGAAGATTGTCTGAGATCACGCCTTGTATGGTTTCTCGCTGATGTTTGTTAAGGTGTGTGTTTAATGGTCCTGTCTCCTGTTCCGTGTGTCCATTTCTGATGGAGGTGAGTCACAAACTTAGGATTCTCTGGCCTCAGTCTCCCAGGTAGCTGGGATTACAACCCTGTACACAAAGTTGTTTTTTTTTTTTAAATTAACATGTGTGTGTATGAATGTTTTCTCCTGAATGTGTATCTGCTCACCAATTTCCTGGTGCCTGTGGAGGTCAGAAGAAAGCATTAGATTCCCCTGGAGCTGGCATTATAGATGGTTGTGAGCCACCATGTGGATTCTGGGAATTGAACTAGGGTCCTCTGCAAATCAACCTTAATTGCTGAGCCATCTCTCAGCCCAGCTCCTTGGTTTGTAATCTTTGAACTTTTAACCTTTATGTAGTATGTATGTGTGCACATGCATGGAGGTCAGAGGTCAATATCAGGTATCTTTTATTACTCTCCATTTTATTCATTCATTCATTTTTGGGACAATGTCTCTCAGTAAACTCAGAGCTCCCCTATTCAGCAAACCTTGGAGATGGTCCTATCTTTGCAGTCCTAGGTTGCTGGTCCCATGCCCAGCTTTCTATGAGGGTGCCAGAAGTCTGACGTCAGCAAGCATTGTATTGATTATCTAGACTCTTGTTTTTAGACTTAGTTCATTTTATGGGAATGAGTGATTTGTCTGCACATATGTATGTGCACCTCATCTGGTTCCTGTGGAGGTCAGAAGAGGGCACTGGATCCCCCTGAAACTGGAGTTGTGAATGGTTGTGAGCCACCACGTGGGTGCTGAGAACCCAACCTAAGAGCAACAAGTGCCTTCACTGCTGAGCTAACTCTCCAGCCTCCATCTGGTCTCTTAAGCTTTATTATTTTTTTTAAAGATTTATTTATTTTATGTATATGAGTACTGTTGCTGCCTTCAGACACACCAGAAGAGGGCATCAGATCCCATTATAGATGGTTGTGAGCCACCATGTGGTTGCTGGGAATTGAACTCAGGACCTCTGGAAGAGCAGTTGGTGCTCTTAACCACTGAGCCATCTTTCCAGCCCGTAAGCTTTATTTTTATCTTGTCTTTCTAGCTAATGTGAACATGTTTGTGTGTTTATCTATAGTTTTGTTTTGAGACAGGGTTTCTCTGTGTAGCCCTGGCTATCCTGGAACTCATTCTGTAGACCAGGCTGTCCTCAAACTCAGAAATCCTGAAATTAATGGCACATACTACTGCTCAGCCAAGTTTGGTTTGATTTTTGAGACTGGGATTTGTCATATAGCCATGGCTGGTCTGGTACTCATGAAAGCAAGCCTCCAACTTCCATCAATCCTTCTGCCTTTCCTTCTTTGATATTCACTAGGAAGACTTGGGTGCAAATCTTTGACATGAAACTCACAGAGCACTCTGATTGTGACCCACTGAGCCTCTGGCTTCTGTTACACGAAGGTCCCCACCGCCCAGCTCTGCTTCCTGTGGGTTTCTGCTCTGGAACTGTGTGCTCACCTTTCTGACTGCTGGGAGCAGTGGCGCATACCCATAATCCCAGCTCTTAAAAAGCAGAGGCAGGAGGCTCACAAATTCAAGGCCAGCCTGAACTACATAATGAAGCCTTATCTCAAAAAAAAAATAATAATAATTGGATTTAAAAATTACCGGTCCTCCCTAACACACACACACTTTTATGTTACTAGGATGGCATGGTCACGACTAAGCTCAGGGCCACATTTGGATCCTAGAGGTGTATTTTGTTTTGAAATAAAACTTGAAGAAAAGCCATGGGTCAGTGGGAAACATTCTTCGTCCACTGTCTTCTTTGCCTAGAACTGCAGTCACATTGCTGGCCGGAGCCCCAGGCTCATTCCTGCAGAGTGTGTACCCAGCAAACAGTTCACCCCAGACTGGTTTTTGAAAACATCCTTTTTTTTTTCCCTTCTGTGCTTCAGTTTAAATTGGCTTTTCTTCAAATTAATTAGTTTAGGTTTTGAGATTTGTTTTTTTTTTTGTACAATATTTTGTTAGTCCTAACAAAACATAAAATCTTTATTACATTTTATTTATTTGTACATGTGTGCATACACGCACACTGTGGCAGAAGTAGAGGTCTGGGCACATCTTGAAATCATTGATCTGTGAATGAATGGAAGCATCATGTGGGTTCAGAGGTTTGAACTCAAGATTCAGGTCACTGGCAAGCCCCTCTGCCTGCTGAACCATCTCACGGGCCCTGTGCCTAATAGAATTTTATTTTCAGGATTTCTATTTGATTCTTTTAAAGATGTATTTATTTAATGTATGTGAATACATTACAGCTGTCTTCAGACACACCAGAAGAGGGCATCAAATCCCATTACAGATGGTTGTGAGCCACCATGTGGGTGCTGGGATTTGAACTCAGGACCTCTGGAAGAGGAGACAGTGCTCTTAACCGCTGAGCCATCTCTCCAGCCCACTATTTGAGTTTTTAAAAACAATTTTCATATCCCCTAACATGTTGTCATATAGCATATCGATCCCAGATGATTCCTTGTTTTGTTCGTTTTTATTTTATTTTTCTCTTGAGACAGGATCTCACTATATAGTTTAGATAGACCTGGAATTCTTATCTATCTAACTTAGGCTGGCTTTGAACTCATGCCAAGCAACCCATGTGCCTGAGTCTCCCCAAAGCTGGGATTACAGGTGTGTACCAAAGACTGTCTAGCCTAATTCTTTTTTTTTTTTTTTAAGATCTATTCATTTATTATATATAGTGTTCTGCCTGCATGTATGCCTGGATGCCAGAAGAGGGCACCAGATCTCATTATAGATGGTTCTAAGCCACCATGTGGGTGCTAGGAATTGAACTCAGGACCTCTGGAAGAACAGGCAGCCCTTAACCACTGAGCCATCTCTCAACCACCCCACTCCCACCCACTGATTCTTTTAAAACATTTTTTGGGGAGCTGAAGAGATGGCTTAGTGGTTAAGGGCATAACTGTTCTTTCTGAGGACTCAAGTTCAGTTCCCAGCACCCATGTCAGATGGCTCACAACCACCTGCAACTCCAGCTCCAGGGCCTCTATTGGAGTCTACACTCGTGTTCATAGTCTTTAAAAAAAATGTTTTAATCTTTAAAAAAATGTTTAACATTTTTATTTTATTTACTATTAATATGCATGTATTTGATGGTAGAGCATGCATGAAAGACAGGACAGACTCTCTCCTCTCGCCGTAGGTTCCGGGAACCACTGAGACCCCCAGGCTTGTCCAGGCTTGCCCAGGCTTGTCCAGGCTTGCTGAACCATCTCCATGGTCCAGAATATCTGTCCTTCCTTACTTCTGTCTCTGACTTCTTTCAGGGAGAACCTGGCCCCAAAGGAGACCCTGGTGAGAAGAGCCACTGGGTAAGCTACAGACCTGCACCTGCCTCCCCTCCTCCTACCCTGCCTCTAACTGCTTCCCCTGCCCTGCCTCTTCCTGTTTTCCTTACCCTCCCTCTGCCTCCTTCTGCCTCCTCTTCCCCTCCTTCTGCCTCCCCTGCCCTCCCCTGCCCTCCCCTACCCTCCCCTACCCTCCCCTGCCCTCCCCTGCCCTCCCCTGCCCTCCCCTGCCCTGGGTGCTCAGTAAAGAATTCTCTCACCAATAGACCCTGGGATGGAGGGTGTCCTACTCACATACTTACAGAAGCCCTGCTCCCACACCCTCCCAACACTCCCCTCCAGCAGACCCCACCCACGCTCTCTCTGTCTCTGCCTCTGTCTTCACCCACTTATCCTCTGTAAGGGTAAGTTGGGCAGTTTAGATGACCCAGGCCAGACCCCTTTTCCACTTCCATGGTCTCTCCTGTCAAAGGTTTTGGCTTTGTCTTGTTGACCACAAAAGAATGGGAAATGTGAAGAAAGCATCCACCTAAAACAGAAGGGGACCTTAGACAAGTCATAGGACAAAAAAGGGGTGCACAAGGGATTCATGGGATAAAGGGCCGGGAACCTAGAAACCAACAGACATACAGAGTATCCAGGAAGCCTGGAAAGGGAAATCTTGAAACAGTTATATATGTGTTCCATGGTAAATGAGGCCAGGAGACCTAACTGCTCTACCCAAAAGATCTGCAATAGGAACCATCACATGCTTTAAGTGATCCACTGGGGAAGCCTAGAAACTGTCATATGCAGAGAGAACCATAGAAACTGAGATAAAGTGATCTAGACACTACCATACAAAGGAAGCTGAACAATAGAAACTGTCTCATGCATAGCCGACACTGAGTAAATGGGAAGAGAGACCTAGAAAGCACGTAAGCAGAAATCTCAAGATTTCAAGGACCTCACTGGGAACCGGCAAGATCAATAGAAGTAACTAATGAACAGATTTGGGGCCTAGGAATCTACTCTGCCTAAAGACAGAGAAGGAAGCCTAGAACGTACCATGCCCTGAAGTCTCAGATGCCCACACTTGGCAACCATTGCTAACATGGGAAGCACTTGGAAAATAGGTAAGGTGGGTGTAAACATCCCTACAAGACAGACAGCCCGGGTGCTCTTTAGAAGTTAGCATCATGGCTTCCCTTCTGCCCTTCCTGAGCACCGTGGGTGAGGGTGTGGCCAGCATTAGCCTCCAACCTTGTCTTATCTGTTTGTGGTCATGGAACCAGTGATGGATACAGCCGTGGTAGTCCTCACCCTGCACGAGTCCACCTCTGTGACCCCATGACTTCCAGGGGCCCTGCTACCTCTCCCAGATGTTTGCTTCCTGACGCTTCATCCTCACCCATCCGTCCACTGTGGTTTCTGGCCTTTGACAGTGTCATGTGGACCCGGCTATGTGCAGGGAGACCCATGTGAGCAGCTCTCTCCCTCCTCAAGGCCCCTCACTCTCCCAGAGACCTGGGATGAGAAAATGGGTTTTTCACATATCCCAGAAGGTATGGGGAAAACCAGGTCACTACAGATCCAGGCTACAAATCTACTATCCAGCATGAGGAGCCTGGGGCCAGGTCAGACCTTGAACCCAGGACTAGCTATGGGAGGGACTCCCAAGAGGTAGCAGGACCCCTACTACCCACCTTCTTCCTTTCATCACCTGCACTTCTACTCCTGCTTGCTGCCTGGGAGAGGAGGGTTCGCTGGTAGGAGATGCATGCAACTTTTGGGCTGAGGGACCAGCTCTGTTAGAGATAGGAAGGGATCCTGGTACAGTGGGAACATCCTACGGACACACTTCACCTACCAGTGCCCCCTAGAGGTAGTACAGCTTTCAGAGTCTCTTGCCAAGTTTAGCTGTAGCTCAGCAGTGTCACCAGGTGGACACAGTCATGTACTGCAGGAGCTGAGTGACTGGCCTGAGTTACTCTACCTAGTTATGAGGGATGCGAGCCTTCATCCTTTCTTTAGACAGGGAAACCAAGGACCAGCTCTTCGGAGCAAACTGGTAGCACCAAAAATGAGACAGAAAGTGAAAGAGGCTAAGAAAGAGGAGCTAGAGAATCCATTACAGTTCCCTAAGCATAGCTCTGTATGCCAGGCTCAGGGATGGGCAGTGCAGAGAGGCAGTCTGCAGGCACAGGCTCCAGGAGGAGTCACCATCAGGTAAACATCATGGTCAGCAGCCACAGGACAAAAGGAACTTAGATGTGATGGAAGTGTCTGTACCAATAGTGTATTGGTGATGAAAGAGACCTATCAGTCATGGTATTCAGACAGAGAAGAGGGGGCAATGATGTGTTTATAAAAAGATAAAGAGAATATGTTCTGGGGGTGTGCGGAGAGGTATGGGGGGAGGGGATGTTTCAGTGGGCCCATGCAGAGGCATCTCTTCCCCCTGAGGGAGCAGTCACACACTGGTATAGTATTAAATAGAGTTTATTCAGGGCATGAGGAGGGGAGCCAGGAGGGTAGTAGTGGCAGAGAGAGAGAGAGAGAGAGAGAGAGAGAGAGAGAGAGAGAGAGAGAGAAAGGAAGGGAAAGGAAGGGAAGGGAAGGGAAGGAAAGGAAAGGAAAGGGAAGAGAAGGGAAAAAGAGGAGTAGGCCGGCCATGACCACATGGAGAGAGGGGGAAGGGAAGGGGAAGGGGTGAGGGGACAGAGGGATCAAGAGCTCAAGAGCAAGAGATCAAGAGGGAGAGGAGGGGCAAGCAGCCCCTTTTATAGTGGGCAGGCCTACCTGGCTGTTGCCGGTAACTATGGGGAGAAGCATACCTAGCTGTAGCCAGGTAACTGTGGGGGTAAAGTTTAGACAGAGTGCTAACAGGCAGCATATAAAAAGGGGCCTGGGGTATATCTGGAGTAGCAGCTTGGCTAGCAAGAAGTGAGAGAGGATAGAGGCTTTCAGAAATTCTAAGGCCACATTAAGTAATTCTATCTTTGGTGGACCTGGGGCATCATTTTAAGTAATGCTAAACTGGGAACCAGGAATGGCGTCTCACACTTGGAATCCCAGCATTCAGATAGATGCCTGAGGCAGAAAGATTGCTGCAAGTTCAAAGCAAACCTGGGCTTCAGACTGAGATACTGAAAGATCTCAAAAAATTAAGAATTTTTTTTAAATTAAAGAATGTTAGGAATGATATGCTCAGGGTTTTGTTTGCAAAGTATGTTTCTGAATGCCGGTTTGGAGAACAGATTGGAGACAGAAAAGAACTAGAAGGCTGTGGGCATCCGGATCAGAGGCCAGGCACCTTTAAGTGGGAGCATAGACCGGCAGCAAGGCAGACAGTGGTTGGTGGAATCAGGGGACCTTGGGTCCTGCCTTAGCTGCAAAGGGAAGTTACGAGGCAGAGCTGGGACTGGTATATAAACCCATAATCCCAGCTGCTCAGGAGGCTGAGACAAAAGGATCACAGGTTCAAGGCCAGCCTGGACAAGTTAGTGAGCTCTTGTCAGAGAATATACTGAAAATATATAATATTCAATGTCAATAAAAGGGAGGGGGCTGGGATAAATCTCAGTGGTAGAGAAGCTGCCTGGCATGTGCGAGGTGTTATCTCCACTACCATACCCAAGAAACACAAAGAGACGGCTCAGTGGTTAAGGGTGCTTACTAAGGACCTGAGTTTGACTCCCGTTACTCACATGGCAGCCCACAGCGATCGGTAAGTCTAGTTCCAAGAGGGCTTCTGGCCTCAGTGGGCACAAACATACATGCAAGCACAGATGCAATATTTATACATAAAAGAATAAATAAAAATCTTAGCCAAGATCTGGGCAAGGTTTCTACACAGCTGTTTGTCGCAGTTCTGGAGTCTTAGCCTAGAATGTGCTTCCTGCTCCTCTCACTGGTGGTCTTGTGAATGTCCTAGATCTGTCTACCTGCTTCTTCCCGAGGAGACAAAGCTAAACATCCTGAGTAGCACTTGCTAGGCCCAGATGCCCTTTGGTTGTACCTCATTGGCCCATCATTGTCCATGCTGGAAATGGCTTCATAGTGTTTTTAAAGATTGATCTTTTAAAATCTGGGGTTTTTTTTGTTTGTTTGTTTGTTTGTTTGTTTTGTTTTTTTGGTTTTGGGGGTTTTTTTTGTTTGTGTTTTTTTGTTTTGGTTTTTTGGGTTTTTGGTTTTTTGAGACAGTGTTTCTCAGTGGCTGTCCTGGAACTCACTCTGTAGACCAGGCTGGCCTCAAACTCAGAAATCCACCTGCCTCTGCCTCCCAAGTGTTAGGATTAAAGGCATGCACCACCACTGCCTGGCTTAAAATGTTTTAAGATTTATTTTTAAGTATGTGCATGTATGTAAAAGTGTATATCACATGTGTGTTGGTACCTAAAGAGGCCAGGAGAGGGTGACAGATTCCCTAGACCTGGAGTTACAGGTGATTGTGAGCTGTCCAAAGTGGGTGCTGGGACCCAAACTTGGGCCCTTTGGAAGAGCAGCAAGTGTTTTCATCCATTGAGCCATTTCTCCAGCCTGTAAACTAACTCCCCCCTCTCTCTCCTCTGTCTGTCTGTCTGTCTGTCTGTCTCTCTCTCTCTCTCTCTTTCCCTCCCTCCCTCCTTCCCTCTCTCCCTCTCTTTCTCTCTCTCTCTCTCTCTCCCTCTCTCTCTCTCTCTCTCTCTCTCTCTCTCCCTGTTATGCCTGTGTGTATACATGTGTGTGGTGTGGTTGTGTGTGTATATGTTGTTCCCTTGTTATTAAATTTGGGAGCTCGCCATTTTCCAGCTAGGCTAGCAGCCAACAAACCTGCCATTTTCTATACCTGCCCAGTGCTGGGGTTACCAGCATCAGGTTGTTTTGTTTGTTGTTTGTTTGTTTGTTTGTTTTGAAAGAGGGTTTCTCTGTGTAGCCCTGGCTGTCCTAAAACTCTCTCTGTAGACCAGGCTGGCCTCAAACTCATAGAAATCAGCCTGCCTCTGCCTCCCAAGTGCTGAGATTAAAGGTGTGGGCCACCAACTCCTGAACTTGGGTGACTTTTACATGAATTCTGAAGCTCTGAATTCAGGCTCCTTGTTCTCGATAACCAAATGCTCTTCTCACTGAGCCACTTCCCTAGCCCTGGGGGTCATTCATTTTCACAACCTGCTCCCATGACACTGGAAGAGGGAATACTTTGGCATGTGACCTGTAGTGACCCCAGTACCCCAGGCTGAAATGGCAGTTCAGTGAACCAAGAATAGCCCCATCTTTAGTTATGATTTTAGTAAACAGCTGGAACATAAGGAATAGCCCCAGGAGATGAACACACTCAGTTGGTACGTTGGGAGGCCTCTCAGATGTTTAGATGTTCTTGTGGAGAGCCACTGCTTCAGTGTTGGCTGGTGACAAGTGTAGGGGCTCATCTCTGGAATTCCAGCCCATGGGAGTCTGCGGCAGAACTACTTGTGAGGTTGAGGCTAACCTGGGTCACATTATATCTCAAAGAAAAAAACTTGGAGAAGGAGCTGGAGAGATAGCAGAGGTGAGGACCAGAGTTTAGATTCCAGGATCCACATAAATGCTGGATGGGCATAGCAGCCCATCCCTAATTCCAGAGCTTGGAGGGCAGAAACAGGATTGCCAGAACAAACTCCGGGTTTAATTGAGGGACTATGCCTCAAGAAATAAGGTGGAGGGGGAAACTCAGATGTCAACTTCCAGCCTTCAGGTTCATGTACATGTGTGCATACATACACATGTGAGCACACGTATACAAACCCATACACACACACCACACACCAGGTCCATGTACATGTTTGCATGCATCCACAGGTGAGCACCCGTATACAAAATTATACACACACACCACACACCACAAATGAGGTGGGGGAGATGGCTCAGTGGGTAAGAGCACTTTCTGTACAAACAAGAGGCCTTGAGTTCTGATCCCTAGTGCCTACATAGAAGTCAGGTATGGCACATATGCCTGCAACCCTAGCATCGAGGACTAGAGACAAGTGGGGCTCCATAGCCAGCCAGAGTAGCTGAAACTGTACATGTTGGGTACACCTTAAGACTCTGACTCAAACAATAAGAAAGCAAGATACAATGGAGGGGCCTGGAAGGTGGCTCAGCTGGGGAAGGCACTTGACACAGCGTGAGTTCAAGCTCTAGGACCCAACCCATGTGATGTGAAGAAAGAGCCAATGCATCCAATTTGTTCTCTGATATCCACACTCATGTTGTAGCCACAACATGCATGCTATGGCATGATCAGGCTCCTACACACACACACACACGCACACACACACGTGTTCATGTGCATATATAACTGCGCATGTGTGTACACCATGCACATACATAAGGAGATGTGTGTATGTGTCCCTTCACTTGGCCTACACTAAGTGCCAAGAGACTTCTAGATGCTGTCAGGTGTGGGACATTTGTCATAAATATCTTGGTGTCTGTTGGAAAATATACCAACATTCTAGAAGTTGTTTAGGAAGGGGATGTGTGTTAGGCAAGACCTTGTGTTGGGGAAAGAAAGGACAAACTGAGAGGAAGTCCAAGAGAGCTCTCTAAATGAGTCTCTGTTTGGGGACAGTGGAGAGAGTCCTAGGCCTAGGATGCCTTAAAGGAGCTTAGTGAACCCACGGCCACAGCCCTGGGAATACACTGGTGCCTTCAGCTACCACTAAGAGGGGCTGAGCTGAGTGTGCTCACCATGGTGGGTCAGAGTGTGGAGCTAGTATGGTCTTGGCAGAGATGTGAATGGTTTCCTGAAGGAGTGGGGCTGGGCTCAAGCCTTAGAGTAGCCTCATTTTAAGCAACAATGCCATTCAAACATTTTGATTTTCACTTAACACTCATTTTAGCACAAACAGAATCACTAGCAACTGGCTTCCTTTCACTGATAGAGTTAGGGTGAGGCCAACAGGACCAGTTAGAACAAAAAGTCAACCTGAAGAATATGAATAAAGAGAAAGAGAAAAATGTGAAGAATTTAAAATAGAGGGGGGGGGGCAGCCCAGAGTGCAGATGGCCCAGGGATGTGACAGGCACTGTGCAGAGGCTGTGGGGATGGGGGTGAGAGGTCAAGTTGGTGCCACGGGGCCTTGAGAACAATATGGCTTTCTGTGGAGAAAGCAGATCGGTGTCCTCCAGACTGGCACAGTTTGCACACAACTGGGATCAAATGGCACTTCCTGAGAGGGTGTCCAGGGGTTGCTTCCTTCTGCCTTGTCCCCATCTTGTCCCCCTCGGTCTTGTTTGGCTGTCCATGGGTCCTGGGCTGTGATAGGTGGTACAGGGCTACAGATGCTTGTCCTGGGTGGGGCATGGGCCACTGGCAGGCTTTGCAGGGTCCCCTCCCTGCCCCCCGTCACGGCTGCATCTGTCTCTTTCCTCCACAGGGGGAGGGGTTGCACCAACTACGCGAGGCTTTGAAGATTTTAGCTGAGAGGGTTTTAATCTTGGAAACAATGATTGGGCTCTATGGTGAGTAGAGACAGACAGACAGACGGCCAGCCAGCCAGCTCAGCCCCTGCTTACCAGTCTCCCCCAAAACCTTCTTGGGGTGGAACTGGTCCGAGTCCAGTTCTGAGGCTGAAGAAGCATAGGCTGCAGAGGCTACTGGACCCGAATGACTGCTCCCCTCTCCCAGAGGAAGGTCCTGCTCCTGGACTCATCCTTGTGACTCCCTCTAGGCATTGTAGGTGAAGTAGTTATTAACAGACTCAGAGACAACAGATGATAGTTTTGCAAGAAACTGTGGGCAACCAAACAGACTCCAAAGCTGGGCATGGTGGCCCACACCTTTGATCCCAGCACTCAGGAGGCAGAGGCAGAGGCAGAGGCAGAGGGATCTCTGTGAGTTTGAGGCTATTCTGGTCTATAGAGTGAGTTTCAGGACAGCCAGGGCTACACAGAGATACCCTGTCTTGAAAAACAAACCACAACAAAAGAAAGAAAGGAAGGAAGGAAGGGAGGGAGGGAGGGAGGGAGGGAGGGAGGGAGGGAGGGAGGGAAGAAACCAAATGCCTAGTCAGCAAGGAATTATGGGTAACAGCCAGACTCTAGCCATACTGGGGTCAGGGGTCATACACTTAGAGCCCAAGCCCATAGGATTATAGATAAGGGATGTAGACTCTACTTGGGCTTCAACTCTAGAGAGGTCATGGGCAATGGAGACAGTCTCTAGACCTACAGGAAAACAGGTTATGCAGCTAGATTCCAGAAGTGCAGGGAACTGTGGGTGACAGAGGCAGACTCAGGACCCAGAGGATTCTGGGCAATAGAGCACTTGCCCGTTCTGACCAGCTTCCCCATAAAGTTCTCGAGACTCTTACAGGACCTGCCTTCCTGGCCCCAGGTATCCCTCCTGCAGTTGTCACTGTGGTCCTTGTGTGTCCTAAGTTCCCTGTCAGGGCTCAAGAGAGCCCAACCCTTACCCTGGCACTCATCCTCCAAGTTCCCATCCTGGCTACCTGAGGAGCTAGGCAAGCCTTCTCCCTATCTCACAAGGGGACACTGGGTCTGGTGGACACTGGTCCAGATTCTTGCCCCAAAGCCCATCAGCACATAGCTGTCTTCACCCCCTGGCTCCCAGCCCAGCCCTTAGAGGCCAGACTTGCACCGTCTGCTCTTCTCGATCTCCCATCAGGCTCCTAGCTTACAGAGCTTCCTGCAGCAGCAGGCTCAGCTGGAGCTCCTGGCCAGACGGGTCACACTGCTGGAAGCCATCATCTGGCCAGGTAATGGCAGGGCGGGCAGGCAGGGGCAAACCCTCCCAGGATGGGCCTGGGACAGGCTTGGGCATGAAGAAGATGCCTCCCGGTGCTTGGTCTGGGCCAGAAGACACTTTGCATCCTTCCACTCATCAAGGACATAGAGCCTGGCACAAGGAACTAGCTTTCCTGTTCTGGCAATCACTTACCTGCACAGGCTCCAACAGAGCCAATAGATGTAGTCCTACCCTTGTGCAGTTTAGAGCTGGGGGGGGGGGGGATAGCTGGCAGCAAAAGCTAAGAAGGGATAAGTGACAGAGTAGTGTGTATAATTATGCCTCTGACCTGTTGGGGACATGGCCGAATGGTAGAGCATTTACCTCACTTGTACAAGTTCTTGGGTTCGTCTTACCTCACTTGTACGAGTTCTTGGGTTCGTCACCATGAGGGAGGGAGCTAGTTCATGAGGAAACAGTTCAGAGGGGCTTCCTGGAGGTGATGTCTCAGTGAAGACCAGAAGGGCAAGCATCGTGGTAAGTGAACAAGCAGAGGAAGAAAAGAACAAAGGCTTCTCTGAGAAGTCTCCAGGGTTGTTTTCCTCAAGGGTTCTGAGAGGTGGAGACTAACACTGAGCGGCACTGGACTGGGAATGTTCTAGAAGGCAGGTCCAGGCAGCCTGAAAGGAAGTTCGACTCCTGGCTTCTGGAGTGAGGCAAATGAGCCCATAGCCTGTGTGGGGAGATGGTGCTAGCCATTCACAGGAATGAGCTGCTTCTCATTTGTCCACCGAGAGCTCCCATCCCGTAGGCTATCCTTTGCCCCCTCCAGGCGCTGCCCTGTCACAGCCCAGATGCACATCAATGCCCACAGGCTTTCATAGTGTGCTCACCTCCCTCTTATAAATCTAAAATCTGAGGCCCTAAGTAGTCTCTCTGAAAATGTCCTTGATTTTAGAAATCGGGCAGGGTTGAAACCAACCCTTTGTTCATCAAAACCAGGAAACACCAACTGAGTGCTCGGCTCAGATGGGTGCTGGGCAACTGTCCATCAGTCACTGTAGAGACTTCAAGAGTGCCTGAGGATGTAGGCCCTTCTTGCTGGACATTGGAGACTTCTCAGAAGAGGGGACCCTGTGTGGGGTCATAAAAAATACCTGGTTGTGCCATATGGAGGTGAGGACAACCCTGACAGGAAGTCTAATAAGATCTGGAGGTTGGAGTGTGTGTTGTCCAAGTCAGGAATGGTGGCTACATGCTTATGATCCCAACACTGGAGGGCTGAGACAGGATAGGAAATTTGAGGCTAGCCTGGGCTACTGAACAAAACTTTGTCAAAAAAAAAAGTGCCCATAGACTGTTTCTAGTTCCTACCCGTTAGCTATGTGGCTTCTCTAAACTTTAGAGACATCTAGAAACATGCTAGACTTCCTTCCACCTCAGCCCTGTCCCTGCCTTAGGGAGACTGAGGTCTTGATAGAGACATAGCAAGACTCCCCCCTAAGCCTCTCAGTACCCATTCTCCATCCCCATTGCCTCCCCGTGGCCTGAGGGACCACCGGGAACAGAACCAAACCCCAAATTCTCAGCGCTTTTCCTGGTGCATCCTCTCTGTATCAGTGCAAAAGTAGGAGGGACAGCTGGAGAACACAGAGGGAAAGAGCTGGGGACAGCCACTGTGACCCTGTCGTTAGCTGGCTGTGCTTCTGATAGCCCCTGGGAAATGTACAAAGCCCCATTGGAGGCCCACCCCTAAGCAGCACCTTCAGTAAGAAATGGTCCTCATCCTAGGAACAGGGAGGAACTTGGCCAAGTACCCATCCTGGGGCTCTCCCTCACTGGGAAAATAGCCTACCCTGACTTTTTCCTGGCTTTACGGGGTAACACAGATACTCATAGACTTCCTGGACAGAAGAGCTTCTTCTTGGGTTTGAAGGATATTCGTTTTCTCAGGAGTAAGTACACTATGTTTATGCTTGGGGTTCAGCTTATGCATAGGGCAGGGCAGGGCAGGTTTCACCACAATTCCCTCTGGTACCAACTTCAGTACCTGTCCATGCTGCCTAGGCCCTCAGAGTCTATCTGAAAATTTCCTTAATTTTAGAAATCAGACAACTGGGGCCCTGACAGGGTCCACTTCTCCTGAGGCTGCTCAGGGCCAAAGCCTGACTCTACTGAGCTCTTTCCATCAAAATGGTGATTTAACCCAAGGAAAGAAGAAAAGTCTCTTCCCTGGCCTCAATTTATTTAGTTATTTCATTTGGATGATCCAGAATTCATCTTTACTCCAAATAAGCCTCAAAAAATTGATGACTGCCAGACGTGGTGTCACACAGATCCCAGCACTTGGGAAGCATAGTTCAAGGCCTGCCTGGTCTACAAATCAGTCCAGGACAGGCAGGGTTCTGTTGTACAGAGAAACTGTCTTGAAAAACAAAACCATCACCACCACTACCACCACTACCACCATCACCACCACCACCACCACCACCATCACCACCACCACCAACAACAACAAAGACCCCTAGAGAGTGTTAAGTGGTGAGTCTACCCGTCCCACTTAATCAAATCAGACATCAGGCAGCCAAGTCTCTTGCTGGGCTGGGGGCCTAAGAGGTTGTGGGCATGTACTAACCAGCCTTTAGATACCCAGATTTCCTACAGTTCCATCTCTAGGGATGCCTGCTACCTCCCAGGGCAAAGAGTGGGTTCCCCATGTGAATGTCCCCCTGATATAGCTTCTCTCCTTATTCCCTCCGGCAGAACCAGACTTGGGATCCGGGGCAGGCCCTGATGGCACAGGTACCTCCAGTCTCCTTCGAGGCAAGAGGGGAGGACACCCAACCAACTACCAGATCATCACCCCCAGGAGACGCAACGAAAGAAGCTGAGAGGGTAGTGGTGGCTCTTCAGGGTTCAACACCAGGCTTCCTCCCTCAGCCTGGACTTGGCCAACTGCCTCCAGGGACTGCCAGTTCCTAGTTATTAATATCCTCAGGGACCCCTGTGCCATCTTGGTCTTAGGAGTAGGCAGATCTCAGTGATGGCAGCCTATTCATGACAGACTGAACAGGATCTTGGCCTCAAAGTCAGGCTTCACTTGCACCTGGCCTAGTTCCCTCTGTGAAATGGGGTGAGGAGGCTTTGGAGGGGGTGGATAGAGGTACAAGGCTTCCAGTCATCTCGGTTGCCTAAAGTTGGGATCTGGGATTGCCATGCCCTGCAGAGATTTACAAGGATTGGGGCAGAAGTCTCAGTTCCCCTCCTGTAAAACCTTGGGGAGTCCTGTGTGCCCCTCATTTTCTGGTGCTGAGTTTCCACCCGAGTTCAGGCTGTTTAATCTCTAACTGAATGGTTGGTGCTTCTTACATGAGTTCTACCCCAGGCCCTCACTGTTCCCATGTCCCATGTGGGAATGGGAGGTGTAGAAGGGAACCTGCTCCAAGTGTCTGCTGCAGATACTGTGGATTGCTATGTATGGACAATAAACAGCCCCGCTTGACCCTACTCCACTTGGTCTCCTTGTGATGCCCAGGGCAGCCAGAAGGGTCCACCCAAGCCAAGGGTATGGGGGCAGGAGCCCCGTGGTCCCGGACACCAGGAGTCATCCTCTTGCATCAGCCACACATTCCTGCTTGCTCACTCCTGCATCCTCCTGGATGCCAACACAGAGAAGCCAGACATGACAAGTGACACTTAGGAGGCCAGGTTGAAAAGCAAATCAGCTTTTATTCTTAGAAAGTACCAGGAAAACATGCTGGGGCCTTCTCCTGCCCCAGGGATGCTTTCAAGACCCCACCAAGTCCTTAGCAGACAAGGCAAGGACTCAGGCTGGGCCTACTCCCTTCTTGGACTATGAGGCCCCAGTGCCTTTGCAATGAGCAGGAGCACTCCTCCCCTCAGTCCCTAGGGCCTCAGTCTCCACTAGCCCTTCCACCAGCAGTGACACTGCCCCCTCTACGCGCCCTGTAGCTGCCAAGGCCACTGCAGCCTGCTCAGTGGGGAACCCCATGTGCTGTAGCTGCTGCAGCCTGTGAGGTGGGAACAAGGAAGAAATGTCAGGGCAACATGACTCCCACATCAGGAGGCCACACCCCTGCGCATCCTGTCTTACCTTAGAGAAGACATAGAGGGCTTTGGCAACCACAGAGGGCTCTGGGAACCCTGGACTGACACATCAAGAAGTGAGGCCTGGATGCCTTCCTGTAGCATCTGCTCGTCTAGGGCTGCCCACATGGGTGCTGCTGAAGCAAAGCTGGGCCCAGCCCAGTCCAAGTCCCTCTCTGGGTTCTTCCAAGTCAGCTGTCCGGGCCCCAGGCCTGGTGGGAGCTGAGCAGAACCGTCACTGTGAGGCCAGGAGTTTGAGGAAGCCAGGTAAGGGGGTCTAGGGGTGGCAGGCCTGTAGAGAGAGGTGGACGGCCTGGACTGCCAGCCACTGTCACAATGTCCACCATCCAACGCTGAGCCCCAGGACCACCCTCACCTCACTTCAGCAGGGTAAGTGACAGGCAGTTCACCCAGACTGCCTGGGGCGGGAAGGAGCCTCAGTGGCCAGCACCGGGCCAGAGTCCTGCAAAGGACTCCTCCCTGTAACGCCTGCAGTCTCTGCTCTGAGAGCTCCAGCCACTGGAAGGCCCCAGCAGCATCTGCCTGCCCAGGGCAGGGCGGCTGGTCAAGGAAAAGCAAAATGAAGTAGGGTAAAGGGAATATATGGGCATTCCCATGTGTCTCGCCTTGATACAGCCCTCAGGACCACATATTCACTCGCATCAACAGCTGAAGCCAAGAACAAAATGCCCTGCCTGAAACTAGTCAGCCAGAGGGGAAGAACCTTTCCCCAGACACCTCATGAACCTGTTCCCAGATCCTGTGTGCCTGAAGACAGATCCTCCTACTGTCAGCAGACTCGAGTGACTGGTGTCTGCATTCTGAAATGATCCCATGATTGCCCGAATGGCTGTATGGGTCAGCCTGTTCTCTTCCGTGGCATTTTCCCCATATATTAGGAACAAAGCTTATTTTAAGATACCTGTACCATGGGTCTAAGTTGGCACTGTTCCCAGAGAGCCTCAGGCTCTCCCATGCCAAGCCTTCCTCTCAGTTATGCCTTACACCCAGCCTGCTCATTGTAGCTTTGATGGCGCCTTCACACAGGATCCAGGTTAGTGAGCTCTCCCAAGCGTCTCATAGGATCCTTTGATCCCAGCCCAGAGCACTGCTCAAAAGATGTGTCAGGAGTAGGTATTTGGTCACCTGGCATTGCTTATACATGACTCCCTTGTGTCATTTCTTTCCAAGGCACCCAAGAGGCCCAGCTACAGGTTCATGTGGTCCCTGGGCTCAGGCAAAGGATACAGGCTAGGCCAGCAAGAAGGCCACAAAAGAGCTGCAGGAAGGGTGGCTCAGAGCTGAGCAGCAGGGTCAGGGCCAGCAGCAGCCACGGTAGCAGCCATGGTGGCACTGTCCTCTGAGGCCATCCAGGGTAGTAACTCTGCCCTGCCAGCATGGCTAGATGGACAGGCATATATCCACAGCCTCCAGCTGCACTGGACACACCAAGACCTGCCAGCAGCACAGCCAGCAGCCCGGTAGCCAGGGCAAGCACAGTGGAGTTGTGCAGGAAGCGCAGAGTGCCCAGATGGCACTCCTGCCACCAGCCAAGAGTGGGCAGGAGCAGCAGGCTCAGGAGCAGGCCCGGCAGTGCAGTGTGGCCCAGAGCATGGGTCAGCAGCCGGTGTACTGGGAACAAGAGGGTGAGGTCAGAGGGATGGATTGCCCTTTACGAGGACCATCTGGTATGGCAGCCTCCCTACCCAGGAGCTAGTATGTCAAATGTCACTACCTAATCACTGGTGGAGGACACCAGCATCTTCTCAACACCACAGCCACTCTTTGGTTACATTAAAGCAGACCAACATACAGCAAGCAACTACTGAGTGTTGTTATGTCCCAGGCACACTGAAGCTGCTTGTCAGTTACCAAATCTCTTCTACAGCTGGTTAATAGCACTAGTTCTAATAAAACCTGCCTACTAGAACCACCCACTCCCACAGAGCAACACGACCTTAGAAAACTCTCTACACCTCCTTGAACATTTGGGTTCCTAAAATGTAAACTGGAGGCTCATTTGTAGGAAGTATGCGTTTGGCTGAAAACCTTAGTCCTGATTTTCCATCTCACCTTTGCACCTTATGGGATCATCTGCCCTCTTTCTTGACTGGATGAGCTGGGCATATCTGAACACTCACCTGCTCTGGGATACTGCCCTATCCTTGTATAACCACCACAAGGTTCACACTAATCCCACTAACTGGTTCCAGGCCCTATAAGTCTCTAGCTTCCTTCAAGGTTCATACAGCCAGTCCTCACCCTGCCAGGGTTCCATTAGCAGCTCTGGAGCCAATCGGAGGCTGGGGCCAGCCCCCAATAACCACAGGCAGCTCAGCAGCAGCATCAGGACTGAGGAAGCAAGGGGCAGTGCCCGGGACAGTGAGCCAGGGGGGTCCCAGACATGCATAGTTTGGTTGATGGTGGTCAAAGGTGGTCCTGAGGCTGTCTGCTAGGGATAAACAAAAACAATAGCAAATTATTTTTGCTGCTTTTATCTGACTCCCTCTCAATTACTTTACTAATGACCCCATTTTTTTTTTTATTTATTTCATGTATATGAGTACACTGTAGCTGTCCTCAGACACCAGAAGAGGGCATCAGATCCTATTACAGATAGTTGTGAGCCACCGTGTGGTTGCTGGGAATTGAACTCAGTACCTCTGGAGGAGCAGTCAGTGCTTTTTAATCGCTGAGTCATCTCTCCAGCCCCCAATGACCCCATTTTACAGAGGCAGAAACTGAACCTGCAGAGGCAGGTCCAATAGCTTGGCCATAGTGGGCTCAAGACCCAATCTGTGTTCTTATTAGCCACCTTTCTATCCTACCTGCCCACATGGGATGGACCACGGCCATTCATAAAGTCCTGATGGGGCTAGTGTGGTGGTGCGTACCTGTGATCCTAGTACTCAGGAGGAACTGGAGTCCAAGGTCATTAGAGATGCATACAGCGGTAGCATGCTTACCTAGCCATACATAGGCACCTGGATTTGCTTTCCAGTGCTGTAAAAAGAATAAAAGAAAAATTTAGGAGCTCTTGGCTATATATTGAGTTAAAAACCAGCCTGGGTTGGTTTTTACCACAGTTTCCAAAAACAAAACAGAGTCTGGTGGGCCTTAAGTCTTAGTGGAAGATACATGACCAGACAAGTTAAACTGGGGCCATTCACTGCCAAAAAGATGGATATATTCCCCTAGGGTTGAAAGTGGGCTATAGGAGTCCACATTCCAAGGTGATTTACAACTGTGACACTATTTCCTCTCCAACCCTGACCCTAGCCTCATTTTGCAAAGGATGTTCCAGTGTCTGCTGCGTGTCCCGGGGCAAGTTTCCTAATCTGTAAACTGCTGATTCTGATACATTTTCCTTACAGATGGTAAGAGAAAGGAATAGAGTGGAGGCCACAACTTTCTCTTTTTAAAAGTTTTCTTCATGCCGGGGCGGTGGTGGCGCACGCCTTTAATCCCAGCACTTGGGAGGCAGAGACAGGCGGATTTCTGAGTTTGAAGCCAGCCTGGTCTACAGAGTGAGTTCCAGGACAGCCAGAACTACACAGAGAAACCCTGTCTCGAAAAACCAAAAAAAAAAAAAAAAAAAAAGTTTTCTTCTGTTGTTGTTGTTTTAAACAAATCTTATCATGTAACCCAAGCCTGGGATGTGAGATTCTCCTATCTCTGTCTAGGCTTTAAGTGCTGGGTCACAAATCTGCACCACTGCACCTGGTTTGGCCCCCAACTCTTTCTCAAACAAACCCAAAGCACCACCTCATTACATAGACAGTTTACAAGTAAAAGCGCAGCTGGTCCAAGCTTAGACCCCACCGTGGTTCCCTGCACATACAGCAAAGTGTGTCTCCCCTGGTACTCTCCTCACACCCAGCCTTTCCTCCATACCCTGCTACCATTCCCAGGCAGTCCTCTGAGTCTCCTACTGAGGCTGATTCAGAGCAGAAAGCAATTCTACTTAGCTTCCTTGCCAGGGCTTTCCCTTGCATATACCAAATGTGAAATCTCCTCTGCCTGCAACGGCCTTTCCTTCATCCCTCAATAGGCCATATCCTACTCACTCTGAATTGCAAATGTCCCCTTCCCACATTGTGGATTTTATCCTAATAAGCAAAGTTGGGCTTTCCCCCTACTCAAATGCTTTGTCTCCAGACTCACCAGGATACTACTTGCAAGTCTTCAGGGTTTGGGTTCACTGAAAGATCTATTAGCAAAGCTCCAGGTCCTGCTGGGGTGAACTCCACCCTTTACCTGTAGTACTGGATTGAAGTTCAGAAAAGCACGCAGATTTCACCCTTACCTGGAGGCAGGGTCACCTAAAATGAAGCTTCCTCTTGCACCTTCTCACAACCATTCCATCCCTGGGCACTAAGGGACAGGTCCATGGACATACAGAACTGGGCCTCAAGTCCTCTGGACCAGACTCTTCTCTTTCTTGGCGATAGGAATGGAAACTAGGGCCTCATACATCCTAGGCAAGCGGTAACACTCCTCCAACCATATCTTCAATTAATAAAATGGAACTTGTAAGAATCAAATAATGAATCCAGCTGCTCCTCCTAGAACACAATACAAGCCTTCCCCCGGTCAGATTCTGACGGGCCTCTATTGAGACACTGAGCGTCGCTAGCTAACAGACTCCGGTGCCTGGATCTCTCACCTGAAGAAAGTAATTTTACATCAAATGGGAAACTGGTGGCAACACATCTGGCTCTCGGCTCCCTTCCCGGCCCGCAGCCTGCCATAAGCTTCAGCGGCGAAACCACGCCCACCCCCAGAAAGGTGTGACACGCCTACTTCTCCCACACGGACCCTGGTTTCTTCAGAGTCCTCGCCCGCCATGCTAATGTTTGTCTGGGTCTGTCCACCGTGGTTTAAAAATCAAAAACAACAACAACAAAAAAAAAAACACTCGCCAACAATCCGCCTCAGTGTCCTTCTGGAACCCTTGTCAGAGCCCTCTCAGAGCTATGCATCATCACACCCTGCCTACCTTACTGGGAAGCCAGGAGGACAGAATGGGAAGTCAAGGACAGTGGAGAAGCTTCCGGGTGGTGCACAGAGAGGGGAGTCCCGGGGTCTGGGTCGAATTCAGCTTTGTAACTTTAGGGAAAGTACTCAATTTCTTGGGCCTGCGTTTTCTGCTAAAACAAGGGTATGAGTCGAAGGATGATTATAGGGCTTCTCAACTCCGACCGTTATTGGGGTCGGGCGCGGCATTCCCGGCGTCCCTCCCAAGCTGACCAACCTCAGTCCCCTCCCCCGCCCGCTCAGGACACGCGTCCAAGGTCCCGTGGAGCACGTCGTTCCCACCCCCACCCACCCTGGAAAACCGAGCTGGGGGGCCCGCCGGTAGTCTGGCCGCCCGCTCCCGGCCGACACCTAGGTGCCCGAAACCCGCTGCGCGCACACACAAGCGCGTGATCCCGCCTGCCGATTACTCAGCAGTTGTTCCAGGCCGGGATCCCTTCCCCCAGCCCTCCCGCCAGCCTCCGTCTCCCTCCAGGGCAGACTCTTCAGAGACGGTCCCTAGAGCCAGCGGGCGTAACCATTCCAAGCCACCAAGCCTCGTGCAGAGGATCCCTCGGGTTTGTTGGTGACCCTCGCTCACTAGCGCGCTGGCCCCTGAGGTGCCTTGTTAGACCACGCGTCACGTCCGGCTCTTTGGAGAGGATTGGGTGAACGGTTTCGGGAGCGAAGAGCCGGATAGCACCGGCTCACTCCTCTTCGTCCACCCCCGTGGCCTGGCCCTATGGTAGCGTCCGAGGTTGCGGGTTTCGCGCCTGCGCAGTGCGGCGCCTAGGGGGCACGCGAGAGGGAGACGGACGTTGAGAGAACGAGGAGGAAGGAGAGAAAATGGCGTCCACGGGTAAGTGGAGTGGAATCGCGGTCGTGCCGGCGACAGCTGGGACACCCAAACTGGGGGGCGCTCGTCTCAGGAGGTGGCAGGGATGACTGAGTGGAATTGCTGAAAGGGGTTGGAGTTCCCGTCGCGGCCCCGATAAGCTCGGGGGTCCGCGTTCCCTTCCCCTCCCCCCACCAGGCGGGCTGGTTCTGGAACCTTCCGGCACCCGCGTTGCGCGCGAGGGCCTCGCGGTAGTTGGGGCGTGCGGAGCCCGTCTTGGCCTCCTTTGTGTGGCGGTTGTCGGTGCGGGTGCTCCGGGTCTCCCGCCACGTGGGCGGGGCCTACGGCCTCTGAGGCCCAAAGGGGACCGCGGCTGGGCCTGGAGCCCATCACCCCGAAGGCGCGTGAAGCGAGGTGTCTGATGGCGGCTTGAGAAACCGTGGCCGGTTTCCCCTGTAACCTCTTCTCCCATCGCTAGCCTAAGGGCAAGTGTTTACTGTATAGAAACTCGGATAAAAAACAAACAATAAGGCGTCGCGAGTGTGTAAGCTGAGGGGCGCCGGCTTATGAGTAGGAGCCTCATTATCCTCTAGGCCTGTCCCGGCCCGGTGCTACCAAGCTGCCCCCTGGAGGGCTCCCAGCTCAAGCCCAGCGCCGGCTTGCTTGGTCTTTTAGACCTTCTTGGCTCCCCAAATTTTCGTTCTCCCCACTCAGAGGCTTCGATTTTATCATGTGTTAACTCCACCTCCTTCCCTACCCAAAAAGCAGTGGCTTCCCAGTGTCCTTTTCTCAGCAAACGGCGCGGGGGATCGGTTGTATAACAAGGTCCGCCTGGATCTGGAGAGGAGAATCTTTCCAGAAAGAAATTTCTAGCATCTTTGATCCAGGAGAAGCAGAAAAGCCTCGGCCCCCACGTTTCTGTAGGCTTCCTCATTAAGCTAGCAGGCTAATTTATTTCTTGGCCCTATTGAGGCCAGCGAAAGAGACCCATAGCCGACTTTGAAAGTCCGCGGCGGGAACTCTAGAATGTGATGGATGTTGTAGTCCTTAACGAGCGAATAAGTGTAGCCTAGCCTTCATCTGCAGTTTGGAACACAGTTACTGGCATAGTGGCGTGTTTTTTGCTTTTGCTTCTAGAGGAATCTAGGGTCTGATAATGTGGCCTTGGAGGCAGTAGGAGAAAGCAAGGGGGAAGAGAGGAAAAGCTCTGGGTCCTTCATTTGGCTTAGGAAAGCTTCCAGCATCACAATTTGACGTCGCAAACGATGTAGTTAGTAAACAGGTGGCTTTTGATACCAGGCTACCCAAAGTGTCCCTAAGAGAAAACAAAGATACTACTACTGCCTATATCCTAGTGGAAAATGGTTTCTTTGGTGGTCCTATTACCCCTCTCTTAGCCTCTAGAGCCCAAGAAGGCAATTGCAATTTTTCTGTTTGAAAGATCATTGCCGCTGTGTAGTCATCTTTGTTATTAGCAAATGCTGGTAAGCACGGTGAACCAAATTCGAGTTTAAAACCGTGCTCTACTATTCCCACAGTCCTGGCACTGCTGAGGGGACTTTATTTATTTAAGACTTAGTATTCCTTTTCTGAAAAACTTTAAGGCTAAACTTTAGTTTAGCTTTGGACCTTTTAAAGGGGCAGTGGTGACACACACCTTTGGTCCCAGTGCTGGGAGGCAGAGGTAGGTGGTTTCTGTGATTTCGAGGCCAGCCTGGTCTACATAATGAGTTTCAGGACAGCCAGGGCTACACAGAGAAATCCTGTCTCAGAAAAAAAAAAAAATTTTTTTTTTCTTAAGCCTTTCAGTTGTTCTTAAAGCAACACTTTTTTGGTCCCAACAAAGTTACCATTGCTGGCTTTAATGGATTATGTAGCCTAAATCTTCAAATCTCTTCAGTTTGGCTAATGACTGCCTGAAGCAAGCCATTGCCTTAGGGGAATAATGGTTTCCCTCATCTGTATCTTGTAGAATAGTAACTACAGAGTGTGTCCAGTAAAGCAGAATTACAGTATCTAAATAACTGTCAAAACAAAAAGTAAAACATTACCAGCATTCTAGGATGCCCCTTACATCATAGCCCCTCGGCCTGCATTTTTTTTTAAAGTGAAGTCTTTACATATTTGGGCATTTAAAGACTTATTTTTTCAAAATTGTTAATCTAACCATTGCTTCAGTGTCATGTTTGAGACAGTAGACTTAAGTGCTCTATTAGGTAGATAAGTATGGGGGCTCTGAGTCCTCCTTCCTTACCCCACTAAATCCTTTGGTTGTGCCCTCATCTGAGGTGGTTAGCTGTTCTGTATCAGTGTTGCCAATTTTACATAACTACTCTTGTGTAAGTCTTTATAAACATTGAACTTAATGCCAGTGATTCAAAAAGTCATTTTTACACAGAAACCTCAACAAAATGTAGGTTGCAGTATTTGGTTTAGATGCTTTGTTGGTATATTTTACAAATGCTACATTGTAGGAAATGATTTACAGGTGTCTTTTTTCCCATATGAAGAATGTGGCAAGTAGCCATAGTTTAATCTTAGATTGGGGAGGGTAGAGTTTTTGGCCTGCCAGAGCTACATGGTGAGACCCTGTCTCCAAAAACAAACAAAAAAGACAAAAAAGGAAGGTAACCAGTAGTCTTGGAGGTACACAATTAGGTTGTAGAGAGCCATATGGGATCTGTAGCAAGTTTGAGACTAGCCTGATCTATATTATATAACTAGTTAAGGTTAGCCAGCTAAGTAGTTATATCCTGTCTCAGAACCCCTACCACCACCCCCAAAGAAAATGTAGCATTATTGGAAATGCTTCAGGATTTTGTTATAGATTTCTTTCGTTGTAGATATCTTTTGGACAGTTTACTGATAATATTGGTAATCAGGGCTCTGAAGTTAAGGGTGCAGAGGAAGGAAAGTAGTCCCATGAGGTGCAGAAAGGTTGAAAGACAGTCAGTTTTAAGAGATGAGTTCAGGCCAAGTGCTGCAGGCCTTTAGTACCAACACTTGTGGGGCAAAGCTGTGTAAATATCTGTTTTTCAAGGCCAGCCTCATCTACAGAGTGAGTCCCAGGACAGCCAGGGAGGGCTACACCAGAAACCCTGTCTCAGAAAAACCAAATGGGGAAGGGAGGGAGAGAGAGAGGTGAGTTCAGGAAAGTATGTTGGTCAGGCCAGGATATTGTGAAGCTGGCTTCAGATGGAGTGAGCAAGACCCCTCCATGAAGAAAGATGCCAGCTGTTACTTTTGGGTGAAGGAGTACTTTCTGATTGGAAAAGAAAGGACCCTTTTGTTCTGTCTTAATGACAGTACTGTCTTTGAATACCAAACAAGATATGTTTTACTGTAGAGAGGAAATAGGTAGGGTTTTTTTTTAATTCCTCTGCCTTAAAAAAAATGCCCAAAACTTATGTAGCTTTAATTCAGTGATGTTTTGAAAACACTTATTTTCATTGCTTGACATATTCATAGATCAGATTTAGTTCCTTTTTTATTTGTTTTTGAGACGGGGTCTTTTATGGCCCCATCTGTCCTGGAACTCATTATGTAGACCAGGCTGACTTTAAACTCACAGAGAGATCCACCTGCCTCTGCTTGAGTGCAGGGGTGAAAGAGTTATATGACACCTCACAAGACTAGTTCCTTTTGATATAATACAGGTTTCATATGAAAAGAGAGTGATAGGTAGACTTACTTACAGAGAAGAAAATGAGAGATTTTTGTTGTTGCTGCTGCTATTGAAATCATTGTAGATGTTAAGAAATAGCAATTGTGAACCTAGAGCAATTTTCCCCTAGGCCTATTAAGTGCTGTTTTCTCTTTGCTGGTTTTTGGAATTGTATTAACCTGGTCAGTTGTGTGTGTGTGTTATGCTGGAGTTGGAACCAGGGCATCCACAGATGTCAGGCTATAGTTGAGGGGAATGAGCACATAGTCCTTCCTGCCATTTATATACTCCTAGTCTTTACCTTGGCTTCACTGGGGTTTTGACAGCAGGCCCTTTTTAGGTTTAATGTCTGTCCTGTTTTCTGTCATTCTATTTTACTTGTTCTAGGAAATTTTGATTGGTCTTAGTAAAGTGATAGGCTTAGCTTGCTCCTGTAATCCCTTCACTGGGGAGGCAGAAGCAGGTGGATCTCTGAGTTGGAAGTTATGTAGAGAGACCCTGTCTCAAAACAAAACAAAAAAAATGCCAGGCATGATGGTGACTTTTAATCCCTGGGCGGGCAGCAGAGACTGGATCCCTGAGCTCAAGGCCACCAAGGTCTACTAGACAGAAAGCCTGTCTCAAAAAGCAGAAAGAAAGAAATTTCAATACTTTCTGTGGCTCTTTTTAAATCTGACAGTACGGTGATACTGTTTTGTGGTCTTGGTTTAGACTTAAGATAATGATCGTGTCTTTGAATTGATAGCTGGTGGTTGAGATGGGCTTATGGTTGTAGGGTGTCTGGCCTGTTAGCACCATATTCAGACTTTATGGTTAACTGACTTTTAACTTAATTGGTTTGGTGTTGAGGCAAAATGTGCTAACAGGGATGTGTCTGCATATAGGTGTGCTCTAAACATTTAAGAATTATTATTACTGCTTGATTTCCATCTGTCTCTTTACCTCTTTCTTGTCTGGGCTAATAAGTTTTTCTTGTTTCTTCTAGATTACAGTACCTATAGCCAAGCTGCAGCCCAGCAGGGGTAAGTCAGCCTTCTGCAACAATAATTTGTCTTTGGTTAGTGTTTTAGCGTACGAGGCTTTTTGTAATTGTAAAGGATATGTAGTAATACAATCAGAATGTTCTGTAGTCAATTCTTGTGTTTAATTCTTTTTGCAGCTACAGTGCTTACACCGCCCAGCCAACTCAAGGATATGCACAAACCACCCAGGTAATCCCAAAGACAAGGATATGTAGTTACCTCTTCAGTAGAGATGTTTCAGCTGGCCACTAAGTCAGTAGCTAAGAGATCTTTTTTAAAATTTTTATACAAATAGAGTGGTAGTATTATCTAAGCTTTTAAAACTCGAAAGTTTTAATCTTTCCCAATGAGGGTTGTAATGAAACCATTTTAAAGCTGGAAATGGACTTTTTAAAATTCTTAGGCTCAAAGTAAGTATCTTACTGCACTCTTGCTCTTTGTGCATATTTTATTATGCTTAATTTAATCGTAGTTTTTAAAGAAAGACCATCTTAGGATCATTGCAGATGAGAAAGTTGTACCGCATGGCTATTGTATAACTTGCTGGTGGTTGTACATTAACTAGTGGAGTTAGCTTTGAAAATTACTGTTCCTCCGCTCTTGTCAGTATGTCAGTCTGACATAAAACCCAGGTCAGGGGCTAGAGATGGCTCTTTGGAAAAGTGCTTGCCACCCAGCCTTACAACCTGAGTTTGATTCCCAAGTCCCACATAGAGTCAAGGAAGAGACCTAGCTCCTAAAAATTGTCTTGTCCTTTGACTTGTATACATATGCCATGGTACAGGCCCACCCCTCCATCAGTCAAATTAAGTAATTAAACACTTAAAAACATGGAGCTGGGGTACAGTGTGTGCCAGCACTGTAGAAATATTTGAGTGGGGAAATTGACCAGGAGTTGGGAATATAGTTCTTTGGTAGATTGTGTAATATACTGGCTCCCGCCACCAACATCTCCTCAAAAAGCCAAGGATGACAGACTCTAGAATCTAGAAAGTAGTTGCCTATATTACCGAGAATTAATTACCTTAGCTGGGCCTAGTGGTGTAGCACACCTTTATTTAGTCCCAACACTGGGGGGGCATAGGCAGGTGGATCTCTGAATTTGGGCCAGCCTGGTTTACAAAGCAAGGTGTAGGCTGGGACTACACGGTAAGTCTCAAGAAAAAAAAAAAAGAAGAATTACCTCTAATTCTGGAGTGATCCATGCAAAAAAGTAGATATTAACTGTCATGGAGACATATTCTAGGACAGGGAGGAAGTCATGCTGCTGGCAGGTTTTACTTTTAAATCTACAATATGAACATGTTAATATCTGTAAGAACAGCTCATTCCTTAGTTTAAAAAACATAATCTTGCTATACTAACAAACTTAAAGAGAACATGAACTGTTCTGATTTATTTTCTTGAAATAGAATTAATAGCTTTTATTTTTATATCATACTGAAAATCTGGTTTTCATATCCTGCAAGATGCTGGCTGAATCTTGGATTATTGTCCCTCTGTGATGTCAGTCACATGGTTAACTGAGATTTTGCTTAATTGTTTTAAGAACGTTTTTGTTTCTAGGTTGACCAAAACATGAGTGAACTTGATAAAAATTGATAGTTTTTAAGATAATTTGTTTTGTTTTTATGCTTTTGTTTTTGTAATTTCTTTCTTATACCAGAAAGCAGTACTTTGTACTTTGATTCTCCAGTTTATGAATTAATAAATTAGGTCATTACTTGGCTAAAATAGAAGGTTCTCACATAAAGCTATTGCATGAATTTGTTTGGAGCAGGCATATGGGCAACAAAGCTATGGAACCTATGGACAGCCTACTGATGTCAGCTATACCCAGGCTCAGACCACTGCCACCTACGGGCAGACTGCATATGCAACTTCCTATGGACAGCCTCCCACTGGTAAGGACAGCCTTCAAAAGACTAGGTGATATGTCAAGGGGATTTGCTGAAAGGCCTGTTATTTATGCTCTTAGGTATATACTCTGGTCTGTATGTTGACATCTGGGGATCTTTTGTTCTGGGAAGTATTTTTTTCCTTGTTCTTAATCTTCCTTGAGTGCTATCCAATAGAATGTGGGTGGAATAAGTTCTAATAGAGGAAGAAACTAAACTTTGATACACTGTGTGTAATGCACAGAATAGAACTAATGTAAACGATGGACTAGTGCTGAAAATGAGCCTTCTTAGACTGAGCTACTTAAAAATCAAAGTGGTTCTCACATGTTTGCTTCATCTGATAGTGTGCCCTCTACTTTTTGTTTTGTGCTTTCCACAGTAGAAGGGACCAGTACAGGTTTGACTATCCTGCTCATTCTTGCATGGGAAATGCTTTCCATCTTGTCTAACCCTGTAATGTTAACCCTTAGGTGTTTTCATTTGTTTAAACCCTGAACTTTCTAACATCATACACAAAGGTGCTAATGAAAAAACTGCTTCAGATGCCATTTGCAGGTCCATGCCCTTATAATTTGGGGAAGGTTTTACTATGAACTTTCCTTTTATTTGCCTTCCGAAAGGTATTACTCCAGCTGATTTTCCCTACTCCCTGAAGGCTAGATTGCATGATTAGTTTTGTTTAAGGGAACAGACTTGCCACCCTGCATGTATATGTTTGTCTGTTTATAGCACAGGCACATTTTATTTTCTGTTTAAGTGTTATAAATTGTTTTAATACATTTTCTGTTTTAATTTTTTTTTAATCCATAGTGTGTTTTAAACAAATAGCATTCCAGGACATTAAAAAGAAACTGGTCTAAGAATACATTATATGTAATATGTTTTTAAAAATGGTAATTTTTTCTGTGGAATGCTGTGTGATACAACATGAAGGTCTTAAGAGACGTAAAGACATCATCTTTCAACTATCTGAACTCCTGAATTATATTGGTTATAGGAAAAGATAGGTTTATTGTCATGGAACTTAGCTAACTTATCTTAACTACTGTGTAGGGATGGAAGTGTTTATTAACCTAGTGTGGTGTGGGGAGACCTGAAACTAAAACTATAGATTTGAGAACGAAGTGGCTTAGCTCTAGCCTTTGCTATTACTAAGCCATTTAACACAGTCCTAAGAAAATTTTTAAGCAGAGTAGAAGTAAGCAGTCTAGATAGATACACATCCCTTTAATCCCAGCTCTCAGGCAGAGGTGGACACTCTTGAGTTCAAGGCCAGCATAGCTTTCAGAGTGAGTCCCAGACAGTAAAGGCTACACAGAAAACCCTGTCTCAAACCCACCCACCGACCCCCAAAAAAAAGAGAGAGGGAGAGAAAGTCAAGTCCTGTAAGCCCAGAAATTATAGAACACTACATGCAAGTAAGCAAAAAAAGAAAAGATGGCTTTGGTGAGTCCGACTATGTTGCATGGTAATACGGAGTTTGAGCACACTAGGTAATTCGAAGTTACCTCTCATATTCATTCACTCCTGCCAACTGCTTTTAAGCTATAGAATCAAAATTAACCTTGGCTTAAGGGGGAGCCAGTAGGTAGGAAGTGAGATCAAGCACATTTTTCTGTACCCCATGCTGCCTTTACACATAAAAGTCAGTGGACAAGTATCAGGAAATGGGTAGAAATACTGTTCTTTCCTAGGATTCTAAAGGAAGCTTCAGAAGAAAGGTACTATGTATCTACATTTCACATACAGGATCCAAACAATTCTTAATCTGTGATTTCTGCTGTTCACTATAAACAAACTTTCTTTGTACAGTGTTTCTTACCATCATTTCCTTTGAAGAAATCATACAGATGTGCTTGTCGCTGTTCTATTGATACTTATTCATTTTGCTTGGCTGCTTATGTGTGTGTTACAGATTAATTAAAAGATTACTATTTAGCCTAGTATCTGTGACTATAGAATTGTTACAATAGGCTCTATTACTGCAGGTAGAGATACAAGTTACTGTCTTCATCAGTTTGGTTCTTATTTAACTTCTATGAATCTTATAAGTAGGGAGAAATTTGGGGGACTTCAACTGTAGTTGAATGTATATGGTTACCTTTAGAACTTTGCAACAAAGTTTTAAATGATAGGGCTGAGGGAGTAGCTCAATGATAGGATGTTTCCCTATCATGTATGGGGGGTTCTGGGTTCTATACCTAAGGTGCTTCCCTAGCATATATGGGAGGTTCTGGGTTCTATACCTAGCACTACAAAACAAAAGGTGAGCATGTCAACTCAAAATTGTTTTTAAGGCTCTTTTGTGAAATACATTTTTAATGGTTTTTATCAGTTTAGATGGGAAACTACTGTCTTTGTATATAATTTTAGAATTTCGTTTGAATGTTTGAGAAGAAAGGATTGTGTCAGTGCTACAAAAAGTACTTGAGATTCAAAAAGAGGTTCAGCTGGCTATGCTAGCAAAGGCCTTCAATAGTACTTGGGAGGCAGAGGCAGGCTGGTCTCTGAGTTCAAGGCCAGCCTGCGCTACATAGCAGGTTCCAGGCCACCCAGAGTTACATAGTGAGACCCTGCATCAAAGAAACAAAAAGAAGTTGAAATAGGTCATGGTGACACATGACTGTAATCCCAGACATCTGACAGTTGAGAGGAAGAAGGCATTGCAAGCAAGCCCGGGCAATTTAATGATCTGTCTCTGTCTCTCTTTCTCTTTGTGATAGTTAAGTTTGACTAGTCCTGAATGTAAACTAAATTATAGTCTTGATTCAAGATATGTTTTAAATATTAAAGCTCTTTTTTGTTTTGGGTTTTGTTTTGTTTTTGGTTAATGTTGGGGGTTTGGGGTGTGGGTGGGTGAGTTTTTTGTTGGGGAGGGGTGTTTTATTTGTTTGGGTTTCTATAAGACAGGGTTTCTCTGTGTAGCCTTAGCTGTCCTGGACCTCTGTAACCCACACTGGCCTCAAACTCTGAGATCTTTTTGATTTTGTATGTTGTTTTTTTAAACAAGATCCTCCTTTGTAGCTTAGGATTTTTTTGTTTGTTTTTGTTTATTTGTTTGTTTGTTTGTTTTGGGGGGATTGTGATCCCAGAATGTTGGGATCATAGGCATACACTCAATCAGAAAATCCTTTTTAAATTTTATGAGAATTGGATTTGTCTTTGGATGTGAATCCCGGCGTCTGAGCTAAGCTTTTTAGTGCGTTACTTACTGTGCCTGTTGAATGTAAGGAAGGTAAAGAGCCCAGTGCCGGGAAAAGTTGTGATACTTTGTTCTTTACCTTCATTTCTGGAACATTTTATTTCCTGTTTTGAGGAGTTTTATTTTTTAATTAGTTAAGAAAAAAATGTGACCAAAAAAAGCCATCCCTGTCTCCTACCCAGTTTATTCACCCGGGGGCAGAAAGAAGCCTGTTTTCTGTGGCAACTTGGTTTTTGATTTTTAAAGATTTATTTTATTACATGAGTACACTGTTACTGTCCTCAGACACACCAGAAGAGGGCATCAGATCCCTTTACAGATGGTTGTGACCCACCAGGTGGTTGCTGGGAATTGAACTCAGGACCTCTAGAAGAGCAGTCAGTGCTCTTAACCACTGAACCATCTCTCCGGCCCCGTGTCTTTTAAATAGAATATGCTTTCTTGAGGTAGGGAATATAGCTTAGTTGATAGAGTGCTTGCCTAGCATTCATGGAGTCCTGCACCACACAAAACAGGTATGGTGTAATGCCAGTATTCCCAAGGCTGGAGACTTGAAGCAGGAATCAAAAGTTGAAGATAATCTTCTACTACCTAAGGAATTTGAGGCCAACCTAGGCTACATGAGACCCATGTCAAAAATAACAATAAACAACACTTCACCTTTCTCATGAATGTATTTTGAAAACAGAAATAGTGCTTTAGACTTTAAATAGTTTGGGGTCAGTGAGATGGCTCAGAAGATAAATGCACTTGATTGCCCAACTTGATAACCAGAATCCATGTAGTGGAAAGAGAGAACCAACTCCCACAACTTGCCCTATGCTTCACACATATGCTATGATGAGCTCCCATATGCCCACATTTAGTGCAGAATACATAAGTAAATGTAATACAAACAATTTAAACACTCCTTTGTTGCTATTTTTCCTGCAAGAAGAATATAGGAATTCAATTTTGTGATGCTTTAAAGTTGGACAGTTTACGAGTTGTTTTCTTAATAAATGCAAAGGTATCATTCTGCCAGAGAGAACAGAGAATCTGATCCAGATCTCTTTTGTTGTAGGTTATACCACTCCAACTGCCCCCCAGGCATACAGCCAGCCTGTCCAAGGATATGGCACTGGTGCTTATGACACCACCACTGCTACAGTCACGACAACGCAGGCCTCTTATGCAGCTCAGTCTGCATATGGCACCCAGCCTGCCTACCCAGCCTATGGCCAGCAGCCAGCAGCCACCGCACCTACAAGGTAAGGTCATAGTTGTTGATTCCTCTGCTGCATCAGCTTTGGTTTTTAGGGAGAGGGTAATTCTGTGCATTGAACCATTCATGACTTAAACAGCTCTTCACCTTCACTAGTACTGACTGTTCTCACAGTGTTCCTGAGTGCTGAGGCACAGCATGCAGGTATTCTGATGAACAGACGGTGCTATCCAAGGGCCAGAAATGAAGAATGTCATTTGCGTGGTTTCAAAACATACTTTTTGGGGAAGGAGGAAGCTGTTTTGCTTTTCTAAACACAAGAAAACTGAGTGTATGTTTCCCCGCATTATTGAACTACCAATAGAATTATACTTTTGAGTACTTAATCTTTGGCTTATGATCCTGTATAGTGTTAACCACTTTCCTTTAGGAAATACGTGGTACTTGATAGTACGTGGTATAACAGTTACACTTGAGTCAAGAAGTACTGTATGTCCCAATTTTGTCGGTAAAGGATATTTTCATATTTGGGAAGGTCAAAGGTTACTGCTTCAATTGAAGAAGTTGACACGGTTTTCTCAATATTATGTAGTGGTTTGATAACCAAAAATCATAGACAAATAAATTCATAGCTGGGTACCCAGATATGTGGTAAATATTAAGAGTCCAATAAAGTTCTTACTCCGTGACTGGGTAGTAGATAAGTGACATATATTATTACTTAACAGAAGATTTCAGGTCTTTACTTTAGACATGCACTTAGGTGGCTTCTGCATACAGTCTTGAAGGAACACAGGATTCTGATTTGAAAGAAGACTAGGAAATAAACAAGAGATCACCTTGTAACCTAGATTTTTTTTTTTATCTGCTATAGAGGTAAGAAATTAGCTGTGGCAAACACTCTCAAAATTACTTCTAAAGTGCAGTGAATAATCAGAGCCACTTGTAGTTAATATCCAGTAAACAGCCTGTCCAGTAGTTCTATTTAACTGGCTGATGCCTAGAAGGCCCCACTCTAGTTGAGTTAGGTACTGGAGAATTTTATTAGATGTACAAACTTGCATATGATGCTCTCATGCAGTGGTGTATGTCTAAGCCACAGAACTTCATCGTGCGTGAGTTAGATTTTCATAAGTCATTGATTTGTGTCACCCTTACTTCCATCTTAGTTTTCTTAGCTGACTATACCGGTTATAATTTTATAACCTGTTTCATCTCAGTGAAGAAACAGTACTTCTGCATTTGCTTTAGTCCACCTGCTGGTCGGGGCTTTGCTTGAAGTAGTCCTAGCTTAACTCTGCCACTGCCTTCCTCTAAATTGTTTGGGCCACGAGGAAGTGGGGATTCGTGAGTTATTTCTGTGAAGTTGGGGTTTTTATCATTTAATGAGGGTATTTGCTAGTTAGTCTGAGCGTGGGTTAGTCTCCCCATCTTGTGGAGACTGTTGTATAGCAGAGTTGAGTTAATTTCCAGCAGGCCAAGATAGGAACTGTCTCTTCTTGTCTGTTTCTAATAAACCCACAGATATCAAAATGTATAAATCGGTGACCTTAAAATTACTCTAAACTTGAATTTGCATTGTTGCCAAATGTCTTCAGAAGTTCACGTTTTTTTAAAAAAGTGTTTTTTCCTCCCTCCTCCCAGTATTTGTTGACAACACAAGCTGATGAAATCCCTTAGTAGTTGTTAATACAGAACAAATCACAAAAAAAAATTGCTAACTTCCTTAGTGTTTTCTTCCAGCAAATACTAATGGATGATACTTACTGGGTTTCATTTACTTTATTTATTTTTTTTTTTTCATTTACTTTATTTTCAAGCTTGGTTTTTAACATTTCATGTTGCTCAAAGAACTGTGGAGTTCTTAACTAGGGGTTGTGTGGGTTGTTAAAACTACGACTATTTTATTTCTCCTTTTAGACCACAGGATGGTAACAAGCCTGCTGAGACTAGTCAACCTCAATCTAGCACAGGGGGTTATAACCAACCCAGCCTAGGATATGGACAGAGTAACTACAGTTATCCTCAGGTACCTGGGAGCTACCCAATGCAGCCAGTCACCGCACCTCCATCTTACCCTCCTACCAGGTCAGTCTCATTTGTGTGGCTGGTGAATTAGTAATAATAAGACAGGTGTTTTCTTTTCAGGTTGTTGACTTGCTAGCATTGGCTTCCTTGGGTAAGATTTGTTTTCTGACTTACTTGCCCATATTTGACCACGTACCTAGTTAATGTTCAGACCTCAGCCTTAGGTTCCCATAGCAGTGCCTGGGATTTAGCTAATAACTGTTCTCTAAATTCTGACCCCAAAACTTCAGTTTTGGTCTTATAATTAACTTAAAAGTATGAGAAACAGAAATGTATGGAACCATCTACACAGAACTATAGCAATTATCCCCTCAAACACAGGCACCATGGGTAAAGTTGAGAATAAAACTTCCTTTTTTACTATTGTTTGCAGTGCTGAGGAGAGGGAATCTGAGGTCTTGTTCGTTGCTGGGAAGGTACTTTACATCTGAAGTACTCCACTTCAAGTTTTTTTGTCCTTCATTTTCCATCTTAACCCTTGTAGCTACAATGTCCAATTTTAGTTTCTTTAAGGAAAACTGCAAGTTTTCTAACCTGTGCCTCATTTGAAGTAAGTTTCAAATGAATTGACAGAACTATTTTACAAGGTTAGTTTAATTGGCTAAAATACAAAATAGTTCTGTTTGTATCTGTCTTCATCAGGGTTTCTATTCCTGCACAAAACATCATGACCAAGAAAAACAAGTTGGGGAGGAAAGGGTTTATTCAGTTTATACTTCCACATTGTTGTTCATCACCAAAGGAAGTCAGGACAGGAACTCACACAGGGCAGAAACCTGGAGGCAGGAGCTGATGCAAAGGCCATGGAAGGATGCTGCTTACTGGACTGCTTCCCCTAGCTTGCTCAGCTTAGTTTCTTATAGAGCCCACAATGGGCTGGGCCCTCCCATCTTGATCACTAACTAAGAAAATGCCTTACAGCTGAATCTCATGGAGGCATTTCCTCGAGGGAGACTCCTTTCTCTGATAACTCCAGGTTGTGTCACACAAAACCAGCCAGTACAGTATCCATTTCATAGGTTGACACTTGCATACAACTAGGAACAGAGGTGGGCAGGGTTTATAACTGTTCCCTTGTAGAGCAGGTCCATACATGTTGGGTGGAACAGTTGCTGTGGCGTGATGAACTGGTACACATACATAGAATCTTTTTTTAATATTATTTTATTTATATGAATGCACTGTATTATTTTATTTCATTTATATGAGTGCACTGTAGTTGTCTTCAGACACACCAGAAGAGAGCATACAGGTTGTGGGTCACCATGTGGTTGCTGAGACTTGAACTCAGGACCTCTGGAAGAGGAGTCAGTGCTCTTAACCACTGAGCCATCTCTCCAGCCCCATAGACTGAGTCTTGACAAATGTGGAGAGATGTGATAAGTACTTAGTTTAGTTGAACATATTTATGGTTCATTGAGAGTTCTGTTGTCCTCCACACCCACCTCCATGCCTCCTAGCCAGGATTATTCTGTGTGGTCCTGACTATCCTAAAACTCAGTCTAGACCAGGCTGGCCTTGAACTCAGATCTGTCTGCCTCCTGGGAGACAAGAGTACTAGGATTAAAGACTTGTCTTGCCACTACACCCAGCTAAGAGTCTTGAGAGGTTTGTTTTTAGTAGTATGTGGAGGTACATAGATAACCTGCTGGATAGTTCCACAGAGACTTAGCACCTTTTTACAGCATCCTAAGGTCTCTTAATAGTCTTATCTTTATTCCTAGATTTCTAAGGATCAAATTGTTAGAAAGGTTGAAACTATAGCAAAGCAATTTTGAGTCTGAACGAAAATGGGATTTTCGGAGTGACATACTTAATACGCTCGTGTTCACACTCTTATTACCAAGCAGGCATTCCTCAGAGAGTCATAGCCATCACTCAACTTACTGGATGGCTGGAGTAGAACACTTGCCTAGAGTGTCAGGCCCTAAGTTGGAGCCTCAAAACTACAAAAAGAAAGGAGAGCATTCTGAGAACTAAACACATCACTGTACTCCTCTTCCTCCTCATGTTCAGTGTATTTTCACTTTATTAGTCTGAGTGCATATACATAGTCTGCCCTTCTGAATTGTATTTGTCTTAAATATAGTTGAAAAACATTGCTGGGCGGTGGCGGCGGCGTACGCCTTTAATCCCAGCACTTGGGAGGCAGAGGCAGGTGGATTTCTGAGTTCGAGGCCAGCCTGGTCTACAGAGTGAGTTTCAGGACAGCCAGGGCTACACAGAGAAACCCTGTCTCAAAAAACCAAAAAAAAAAAAACCTTTTAAATAGGAGCTCTAAACCACAATTCAGTGTGCACATGGGTTATTTTCATTTTCTCTTACATTTAAAGCTTTATTATTGGAAATCCAAAAATGTTGCCTTAGCCAGACAGTGGTGCACACAGGAAACTAAGACAGAAGAGTTGTGTGCAGGTGGAAAGTCAGCCTGGCCTACACGTAGTGAGACCCTTTCAGTGAAAGTAAAAAGAAAGTCATTATTAGGATGCCTGTGAATGTCTTGTATTTGGGGTCTTGGCAGAAATAACATGGTTTTTCCTCCTTCCTGAAGATTTTTTCTTTTCTTTCAGCTACTCCTCTTCACAGCCGACTAGTTACGATCAGAGCAGTTACTCTCAGCAGAACACCTATGGGCAGCCAAGCAGCTATGGACAGCAGAGTAGCTATGGTCAACAAAGCAGCTATGGGCAGCAGCCTCCCACTAGTTACCCCCCTCAGACTGGATCCTACAGCCAGGCTCCAAGTCAATATAGCCAACAGAGCAGCAGCTACGGGCAGCAGAGTGAGTTGCTAAGAGAGAAAAACTAAGTATGATTGGGTTTGCTTGGAGTTTCTGAGAATGGGGAATGCTTGTTAGCACTGTTTGCTTCTGGAGTCTAGGGTGAGCTATAACATCCTGCATGATAGTCTGAATGTGCGAGTAGGGGCTCTGCAATGAGTAGGGCCGGCATTCTTTTAAGACCTGCCTTAAACATTAAGAGAAAGTGGGGAGGTAGCTATAGATACCAATATTTTGGTATCTATATTTTGATAGCCAAGTAAAATTGTTTTGATATTGTATAAATTCATAAGCAGAGGGAGTAAGTCCTGCTTACAGAATTCTATAAAGAGTATATCCCACACACCCCCCAGTGCTTATTCTTCCATTTGGAAAAGTAACTAAAAACCCAAAGTATCTCATTCACTATTTAATTTCTGCCTCAGTTGTTGCACTTTTAAAATTGGATTTCATCAGCCAGGCATGGTGGTGCAGAGGTTGCAGTGAGATCCTGACTCTAAAGGGGGGGGGGTTATTTGTTTTAGTTTTTGACTGGGATGACTAATAGCTACTACTTATTATAATTCAGCCCTTTGTATGTCAGAGCCCTGGGTTAACCTGGCTCTACTTTTGGTGTTGAGAGTCAGTACAAAGAAGCTGCTTTTGGAGACATCTGAAGCAGAAACTTAGAAATATATTTTTCCCAGAAGAAAAATCCTTTGAAAGTAGTTTTATAGTCTGGTCATACAAGGCTGTTTTAGCCTTGATGACCCAATAGTTCTTAAAGAGAGCTTCTGATAGAAATACTTTTGGCATAGTGCTTATGTGGTTGCTTGTAGTTGAGAGTTCCATGAGGCCAGAGAAAGGTTGTCAGGCAGTGGTGTCAGTGCTGGTCCGTGGCTGACAGATGTGACTCTTTCCTCAGGTTCATTCCGACAGGACCACCCCAGTAGCATGGGTGTTTATGGGCAGGAGTCTGGAGGATTTTCCGGACCAGGAGAGAACCGGAGCTTGAGTGGCCCTGATAACCGGGGCAGGGGAAGAGGGGGATTTGATCGTGGAGGCATGAGCAGAGGTGGGCGGGGAGGAGGACGCGGTGGAATGGGGTAAGAGCAAAACCTTTTCTCCTTTTACCTAATTTTGTTTCATCCATAGGATTTTCAATGGAAAGAAGGGACTGAAAGACATAAGAAATTTATTCCACATTTCCATGGACAATCTATTGAGGTCAAGCTATCTCCTAAAACATGGAAATGTCATTTAAGTGGCAGTTTGCTTTTTTCCCTGCCAATAACTGTTGTTGGGCTGGGGTGAACAGAGAATGGCTTTGAAACTAGAGCTTTCAGTCCCCTTCATGGTTTTCAGAGGTGAGAGCCTCTTTGGGTAATAGATTTGGGATGGAACACACACAACCCTTCTAATAACCCTAGGTTCTAACTAATGTCCTGATCGATTGATTGTCTTGAAATACCTGGTATATGTACTGCAGAAAACGAATGCAGCTGTTTTCCAATGTTTATACCCAGAATTGTTGAACATGATAAAGACTGACTGGCCCCATAACCCTTAAACCATGGCCTGAGGTGCCCTGATATGTAGTTAAGTTGGAACAGAGATAATTTTCTTACAGAGTAATGTATATGAATATAGCATCACTCTCTATTGGAGATTTTAAAAGTCTAAATTGGTTTGACCATTGTGATGGATGGCACAATCTGGTTTAGAAAACTGTTTAGATCAGTACCATGACCCTGCTGCCTCTGCCTTCCCCTTCCCTCCCTCCCTCCATCCCTCTTCCCTTTCTGGTGTTTATACTTTGATGAAGGTGAAGTATGATGTTGGTGGTTAACATAATCAGATTTAGTTAATGTGTGTGTTCTGTCCCTATATAAACTAGTAAAAAAAAAAGTTATGCAGAATGTTGTAGTGACTATAAATTTGATTAACTGAAGAAAAACTAGCAATTCTTTTTTATAGAACAAACTTGAAAACAGATTTAATTGATCTATTCATTTATTAGTAAATTTCTGTACTACTGAAAGGTAGTTAAATGTTTTGTTTATTCTGCATAACTTTAATAAAGTCTTCAGTGAAATCTTTATTGGAAAAGATCTTTTTATAAAAATACATGCAAATTTTTATTAATTTTTGACAATGTAAAATTGGTCTTCTGATTTGGAGAATATCATTCCATTATAAAGGTTTCACGTCTTTATGGATGTTTTAAAATAGACATAGACACTTGAAATTACTATCATCACGTCTCAAATCACCTAGAATTCTTAGTATTTTTCAATTGCAAAAGCAATTTGAAGTTTATTCATCTTAATACTCCAGAAGTGATGATTCTACTGACTTTGTTAGACTGCTCTTAGAGGGGCCCATCTTTGTGGATGAGAAGTCTCTCCTGGAGCCATAGAAGAGACCATGGCCTACCCCATAGGATTTTAACAGAACTGTGAAGCAGTCTGTTGGATCCTGTGAGGACAGGACACTGGGCAGTTCCCTTTCCCTTTTTTTATTGTGGTGTGGTGATGGTTTTCAGTGTCTGCTACAGGTAAGGCGCTCAATGTTGTTAACATGCCCTTTTTCATTGCCTCAGTATTTTGATATTTTTCATTGGCTGTTAAACGTGGAAACTTTTTAACATGCTTTGTCGCATTTATATGCTACAGGTTACAAAGTGAGAGCCTTGTATACACTTCAATACTTAAAAAGTACCCGTACTCAGTACTCAGCCGGCAGCATAATGAAAAGTGGGACTAGACACGGTGTCCATATGGAGAGGAAAAATATACATAGAATATTTTAAACAAAATGTATTCATTGTATAAATGGAATCCTTCTGTAACTTTGGTAACTGCATACTTGTTGTTTGGTAATGAACCAGAGGAGGTATAATACTCTAGAATTGTGTAACATTAAAGTGTAAACTTTGTGTTTAAAGACAGACAGAACATTTTATGGTGTGTACTTTTAAAAAGGAAGTAAAGCTGCATGCAACAGCTTGAAATGTATATTTAGGTATTAAAGGTGCAATACTGGTTAAGAAAACCTCAGGTCTTCCTGCTGGGGAGCTGCCTTTATTTACTACTTGAAAATACTGCCTTCCCCCCTCCCTCCTCAAAAAGGCCACAATATATATTCCCTCTCCTCTATGTATAGTATGTATATTGCCATAGTTTTAACTGGTATGTCTATAAAGTTGCACCCCCAGTCCGCTGAGCCTTGGTATTTACTGTAAATTCTGCTTTCACAGTAACTATTAAATCCATTAGGGCCCTGGACTGTATGGCTTTATGCTGAAGATTGGCTGGATGCGTCCTCTGATGTGTGTTGTAGACATTTAATGTGGTTGTCGTCTGCTTTATTATACTGTGACTTGTTAGGAAGCCTAAGGCCTCATTTGGCTCTCCCTTGGGAGAGATTGAGGGTGCACCTTTATGAACATGGAAAGTTCATCACAGCAATTGTCTCTGCCTTCTTGTTTCTACACCAAGTTCACCTGGTGTTTCAACTGATTGGGGTGGATGTTTGGGATCTAGGGGTTGTTTTTTTTTTTGTTTGTTTTTGTTTTTGTTTTTTTTTTCCTTCCTTAATTTGCCAAGTATTGCACTATTAATACCAGCCCCTGACATGAAAGAAACCAACCACATTGGTGTGTACAATCAGACAAGCAAGGTTGTATATTAAGGAAATTTGAGCAAGCTGCCCTGAAGAAAGGCATAGTGACAAGATGAGAGAGATGCATTGTTTGGAGATGTGTTTAGCCAGTGCCCTTCTTCCCCACGAGCCCTGCCAAGGCTCAGAGCGGTACTGGCTTTTAAAGGGAAAGGCCTTCATTTCTTCGTTTATCCCCCCAGCAGCGCTGGAGAGCGAGGTGGCTTCAATAAGCCTGGTGGTAAGTTTTTGAGTATTACCATGGATAGTGCTTAAAAAATACAGTCAGTTTTTCTAGAAAACTATATAATTTTTACTAGTTTCATAAATGGTTTAAAAATGATGTATACAAAAGAGACTAATGGGTACTGCCGGCATTGTCTTAGGGGTAATAAGGTTAACCTATGGTTACAAAACAAAGGGTAACTTCAAGTATTGAGCAACTGCTTCTATAATATGGGGGAAGTACAGCTTTAATTTGGTTTATGTGGAGGAAAGGTTTTGAATTTAATTTAACACTAATTTGGCACATGAAGCATTGAGAGTGTATTTGGTTAATGGTTTAGAAACAAAACGAGCAAAGGGAAAAAAAAAAACCCTAGCAAACTTCACAAACGCTAAAGGGCCACTGCTCCATCTTAGCAGTGCGGGTCATTTTGAATTAATGAGTCCCCATGACATGGTGGTGTAGTAGATAGCTGTGTGTGTTTGTAAGGTTTGTAGCTTGCAAGGCTTGCACTAATAATATTTTATATGATCTTTCCTGGTTGGCAGGACCCATGGATGAAGGACCAGATCTCGATCTAGGTAACTTTAAGTTCTGTAATGTTACACTGTGCTGTTCTGAATAAATAAATGCCGTAGAAGCAAGAGCTCAGCTCAGCAGGCTGATCCCTCCCAGGACACTGATCCATTCTTGGCAAAGACAGTTTGGGACTTCCTTTAAATTGTTTTAAAGTAACCAAAAAGCTTCATCTTAGTATCAGTACAATGGATGATTGGTGCACTTGCCTTTGTGATGAACACTGTTTGATAATAATGTCCAGTTGGTTAAGAAGTCCCTATTATTATCTAGGCCTGATGGGACATGTCTGGGAGGTTGAAAAAGAGGAATAGGAGTTTGAGGCCAGCCTATCTCCAAAGACGAAGCCACTATTAATTCAGGGCAGTAATTCTGTTTTATCCAATTTTCTCTGGAAGGCCTTCCTATAGATCCTGATGAAGACTCTGACAACAGTGCAATTTATGTGCAAGGATTAAATGACAATGTGACCCTGGATGATCTGGCAGACTTCTTTAAGCAGTGTGGGGTTGTCAAGGTGAGTGAGAATGATGAGGTGACCTAGCAGGACATAGTTGAGATGCTTGGACTGCGCTGAGAGTTGTGCCTTGACTGTTTTGTTGACATCTTGTGTCTACTCCTTAAAACACTTAACTCGAGACCCTGTGTTGTGAGGGCTAGAAGATAGCCCAGTGATGGAGCATTTGCCTGGTATGCAGGAGTGTATTAAGGCTACAGAAGTCAGTAGCTCCCCCTTTGTTAGTTGGGTTGTTATTGTTGGTTATTTTTTGAGACAACATCTCATACATTCTGGCTTGACTCACCATAAAGCAGAGGATTACCTGATTTCACACACACACACACACACACACACGCTACCAAATGCTCAGTTCACAGTCTTACTCTACCACACCCAAAGCTTTAGCCAATTTTTGTAATTGAAAAATGCTAAGCAGCTGATGATTCTGTTACTAAGTCTGCTATTCTCTTTATAAATGAACTTGTCTTTTTCTGTTGTGGAGAAAAGGGTAGGTTTTTGGGGGAAGGGTTTGTTTTGTTTTGTTTTGTTTTGTTTTTTTACTATTCCCCTAAATACTTGATAGCCTGGAGACTTTTGTTTTCAAAATTATCACTTGACTGTCTTAAATGCTTACAAAACACTAAAATAGATTGTGTGATGTAGAGAGGGGCATTTAAATCCTTATAGATTTATTTCCCAGCATAAGGGTTGAGGCTCTGCCAGGGGTGGTGCTGTATGCCTTTGATGCCAACACTGAGGGAGGGAACAAAAAGGGAAAGAAGCAGAGTTTTAGGAGTTTGGCCTGAGAAAGGGTCTCATTCTGTAGCTCTAGTTGGCCTGGAACTTGGAGATCCACCTGCTTCTTTGTTCTGCTTCTGCATATTGGTACCACACCTGACTATTCTTGGTTTGATAACACATCTGTTGTTGGCTTGTTTTCCTTTTCCCTGTTTACAGGCCTGTTGTGACATTTTGTTGAAAGCTTTCCTGAGTCTCCATACCCAGGAAGTCTGGTTCTTCTGCTTTTTCTCTTTACAATTATTTTTAAAATTCTATGTTTGTGTGAACATGTGGGAGGGTCTGTGCATGATCCACAGAAAGGTCCAGGCGTGATCAAGAGTATCTCTGGAGGTCAAAGGGCAATTTGTGAGAATCTGATCTTCCCCAGGGTGGGATCCATGCACTGATGTATGTGGCAGGTGTCTGACCTGTCTTCTTTCTACAGCTCCTGTCCACCCTTTGCAATACAGGTTAACAGAGTTTATAACACAATTTGAGAATAAATAATATTTTCTGATGTTAAAGCCTTAAAGGTGTACAGTTGACTTTTAAAATTATATTTTATGTTTATGTGTCTCTGCATTTTATTTCTGTACCACATGGGAGTAGATACCCAAGAAGACCAGAAGAGGGTGTCAGATGTCATGAAACTGGAGCTTCAGGCAGTTGTAAAGTCTGACCTCAGTACATAGGTCCTCTGCTAGAATACCAAATGTTCTTTAAGATTTTTCTCTGCCTGTTTCTGCATCCACACACATTCACCATATACTGTTAAATGATTTTCTGTAGCCTTACCCACTCTGGGGGAAAGAGAAACCCCAAATTCCTATGCTTGTATTTTATATTTAAGATGTTGATTATTGGCTGGGTGTGGTTTGTATGTCTTTAATCCCAGTACTCAGGAGACAGAGGCAAGGAGATCTCTTGAGTTGAGGCCAGCCTGGTCTGTACATAAAGCCAGGACAGCCAGGGCCACACAGGGAAATCCTTGGAGGCGGATGGGTGATTGGTTTTGTTCAGTTTATTACATTTAGAAAGGGTGTATCTTAATGCATATATGGAGGTCAAGGGACAACTTGCAAATCCACAATGTTGGAAATAGAACTCAGGTTGCAGGCTTGGCAACATGTACCCCTTACCTGCTGGGCCATTTTGTCAGCTTCTTTGTGTGTTTTAGCAAGGCCTTGTAACATAGGCTGACCTTAAACTTATTTCCTTCCCATCATGGCCTTGAACTAAAATTAATTTTCCTACTCCTACATCCCAAATGCTGGGGTTCTTTGCTTGAGCTACCATGTCCTACTGGGTTTGGTTTGTTTTAATTTGGGGAGGGTGTTGTTTGTTGGGGCATTAAGATTTATTCATTTGTTCTGTATATAGTGTTCTGCCTGTATGTATGCCTGCAGATCAGAAAAGAGCTGCAGATCTCATTATAGATGGTTATGAACCTTCATGTGGTTGCTGGGAATTGAACTTGAGACCTCTGAAAAAGCAGCCAGTATTCTTAACCTCTGATCTGTTTCTCCAGCCCTTGTTTGTTTTTTCAAGACAGGATTTCTCTCTGAGGTCCTACTATCTTGAAACTCAGATTCTCCTTGCCTCTGCCTTCTGAGTGCTGGGATTAAAAATGTGTCCCAACATCACCCAGCCACTTGATTTTACTTTGTTTCATTTTGGGGTGTGTGCGTAGAAGTGGGGAAAGAGAGAGACAGACTCAGGTGTACACATATAGTTCTAGTATCAGTTGGAGTGTACTCTGGTTAAGTTGGAATTTGCCATCAGGTGTTTTTTTGTTTGCCTGTTTTTTAATAAAGATTTGTGGGACTGGAGAGGTTGCATAGGGGTTAAGGGCATTGGTTGCTTTTCCAAAGGACCTGGATTCAATTCCCAGTACTACATGACAGCTCACAATTGTCAGTAACTCCAGTTCCAAGAGATCTAATACATAATGGTGTATAGACACACATGTTGGCAGAATGCTCATTTACAAAAAATTAATAGAGATTTTGAAATGCATGTCCTCATTCATATGGCGCTGGATAGATGGTTCAACAGTTATAAAATACTTGCTGCTCTTCTCGAGGACCCAAGTTCAGGTCTTAGTACAACTTACTACAACTGCAGTTCTGAGGAATCTGATGCCCTCCTCTGGCTTCTATTGATATTGCATACATGTGCACATACATGCATACAAGCATTCATAAACACAAAAGTAAGTATTTCTAAAAAAAAAGGTATTTTCTTGGGGGTTATGTTGGCTCAGCAATTGAGAACACTAACTGCTCTTTCATAAGTCCTGAGTTCAAGTCCCAGCACCATATGGTGGCTCACAACTGTAATTATAGTCTTATGGGATCAGATGAACCTCTTTTGTACAAATATATGTACTTGCAGATAAAACATCCATATACATAAAATAAATGTTTTTAAAAGGTATTTCCTTATTTGTATGACTAAATTGCCATATTCTTTCCTGTCATATTTTTTTTAATGCTATTGATTGATAGATACATGTATAATTTTAGGTTTTTTGAGATGGTAGTTCACTCCCTGTGGCCCAGTCAGTCCTGGAACCTGTGATGATCTTCTGCCTCACCCTTCTGAGTGCTGCCATTACAGGCATGAGCCCAGCTTGCCTCAGTATAGTAGTGCTGGAGAAGTGGCTCAGTGGTGAAGAGCGCTTCTGCTCTTTAGGGTGGCCCACAGTGGTGACTCAGGTTCCAGGGATCAGGTATCTTGGTCTCTGAAGGCTCATACACAGTCCCATCATTTTTTGTTTTTAAGTCTTAATGCTCAATAAGGTACGTGCTTGCCACCAAGCTTAACAACAGTATTATTTTATGGATATGAGCATTTTGGTCACTTTTAAAAAATACTGTCTTCTGAGTCCTAGAAAGAGCGCTCAACTAGATACATGCATAAGCCTGTATAGGTTGGACATTGTTCATGTGCATGCTTGTTGGACAGTGTCGTTTCTAAATTCAAGCCAACTACAAACAAGCCGTCTTTCCAGCTCTTGGAGGGAATCAAGAGTTTGTGTAGTGTATTCACAGCCTCAGTAAGGAAGGAAGGGGCTTTTTGTTTTGTTTTGATTTGGGTTTTTGTTTTTCAGTTCTGTTTTTAGAGAGATGGGGATCAAACTCTGATCCTAATCATGCTAGATAGGTACTCTTCCAATAAAGTGTATCCCTGGAGTGACCTTCTTTAGAAGAGTTACGCCTCCTGGCTTGACTTCGGTGCCTCTTTGGGCACATAATGTGGGACTGCTGCACAGGTACCAAGATCAGGAATAGGGCCTACATTGCTTGCTTTTGATTGTTTAATGAACACATCTGAGGTGTGAAGTTTACCTAAATACCTATTTGTTGTAGAAGCTGAAGGAACTAAGTCACTCAGAATTCTGATATCCTGAGGAAGACTTGACCTTTAATAAACTGTGGAATGAGACTGTGGGGGTTCTCACTGTATTGGCCTTGGTTGGCCTAGGGATATTAAGATTAAAGGTGTGGACCACCACACTCTGTGTGACTGACTGTCTTTTGACAGTTGGGGTACTTGAAACTTAATCTC